CGTGTCCACTTAAACCGTCGCGGGGTTCAATTACCCAGCTGTCAACAACGTCACGTGATCGCCCTGATTGGTTATTTATAGTGTTTGTTTTCTTGCTCCGGTTGTCCATTAAAAAAACGCGACGACCGGAAGTAAAAAGAACAATGGCGTTGTTGTAGGGTCATGCTGACCTTAGACATCCACTGAACTTTTTCTAACGAATTTTTATTTACACTTAATATTTATCTGCCTTGGTGTTATTTTACAATGATATTTGGGTAGACGGACATTTTCGTGTCATTTTAATTCAGCTTATTGTATCTTCCAGACCTTTTTCTCCGGGGGAGAATTTCCGGGAGTGGGAGGGGGGCACTGGTAAAATTATATATTGTCTATATAAATTATATTTCGTTCAGGGGGGGGGGGCTGGATGAGATGCCTGGAAGAAACTGTCTATGATTATGTTTGTCTATGTTTTATGTTTAGGGGCGTACATATGATGTGTGTCCATGTTTTTGTGTCCGTGTATGTGTGTCCATGTTTATGTATGCCAATGTGTTCACGGAGTGGCTGATCCTTTGATGAGCTAAACTCAATTTACAGTTCAACAGACGGACGTCTATTTTACATAAGTGTTTTTTTATTATGTCTGTCTGTGTTTTGATTTTTTTTAAATCATTTAAAAAACCGTTTTACTAACAAGCTTTTATGCACTAATGCACTAAAAAGTAAAAAATAAATGAGTTTTTTTAATATATAGTAATATAATACACTACTATTTATATAAATATAGAGAAAAGCGTGGGTCGCTTCCTAAATATTAGTAAAAGTATCCAATAGATAATATAGTGACCCACGCTTTTCTTTGTTAGTGTATTTAATTAACTACCAGTAATCTAACATATTTTTAAAAAATTCTGCTATTGTGTCACTCTCTTGCACTGGTATAACATATACCACAAACTGAGATGTCAATACTACTAACAATCTAACACACCAATTTTCGGAAGAGTCTATTGTCGGAAATCAGTAATACTCGGGCCATATATTAAAAAGCCAACATTTTCTAACACACTAATTGCTAATGTTCATGCTAACCCATTTCCTACCATAGACAGAACCCTAATTTCTAACCATAAAATTAAACCTGAGATTACAATACTATTAACAACTTAACACACCTATTATTTTTAACAATCTTTTGTCGACCAAAAGTGATACCAATACTCCATCAGGTTTAGGGTTAGAAAGTAGGATTAGGGTTGTGGTAGAACTCGGGTTAAGGTTTGGGTTTAGGATAGGGTTACCGTTGCCATTCGCAAGACATATATTCCATGTATTCACTTAACTATCAGTAATGTAGCCGTAAAACGTCAAGAGTGATACACTGGTATAAGACATACCCCGATATGGTTGATGACACTACAGCCGACATAAGCTCACTTCTTTGGAACCATATACCGGGGACGGCACGGCCTAGCGTTAGAGCGTTAGACTGCTAACCCGAAAGTCTCGGGTTCAAGTCAGCAGAACGTCCTTGATTACACCCACCTCTGATGGGTACCATACAAAGGCCATACAAAGACCCTTGTACTCCGAGGTCATTTCATCTGTCCCATGTGTCTTGGGCACAAACGGGAAAAGATGATGATCCCCGACCCCTTACCATCCTACATGAACACACCTTTTCGGCTCTGGTCTTGTATGTTAAGTGGTTTTTTTTTAATATGATGGTTTCTCTGTGTAAAGATAATCAGAATACTGCTCGTTAGCCAAAGATGAATCATTAATAAAATAAAAACCAACGTTTTAAATAATTAAAAATATTCTCTAATTATTAATTTGTAATACGCCCAGAGAAAAAAAATATCACTAATGTAGATCATTATCTTTTAATTAAATAATTTAACATGGCAAAATCATACCTTTTTTGCAATTTAATGGGCTAAATCAATAAAATCTCCAGCAAATAAAAAACAGCGGATCTTTAAATCAATAAATGAGAGAATTATTTGTTGAGTGTATCTTAGACTAATATTAATACCGAAGTACAAGGTAAGTAAACAGTTACTTGATACAAAAGTTTTTTGTGGCGAGACCGTGGTGGGTGTGTGGAGTTGGGTGCAATGTAGCGAAAGTTTGGGACGCATTAGAACAGTTGGTCCTACAGGCATTAAAGGGTGGTTGAGGCCAGAGTTTCTTCCAGGCATCTCTTCGGGAAATGGAATTTATTTAGAAAATATATACTTTTACCAGTGTCCGCTCTCCCCCCCCCCCCCTCCCTCCCGGAAAAAAAGTCTGAAAGAAACACTGGTTGGGGCACATTTTGACTACACTGAAATAATGATTCGGACATTCACGAAAATGTAGTGTAATAAATGACGGTTACGCCAAGGCCTACAGGAATTTTTTTGTCAACTGAAAAAAAAAGTGACTTGTACCAAAAATGCATGGGTGTGTAGAGGAGGGGAGTGGGTGCATGTGGTTGTTTCGTTGAATTCAACATCCAAGAGCGTTTTATGTTAAAACCAAACCAAACTGTTGAAATCACAATGCTCACATTTTTATTTAAACTGCCACTATCCTACGTGCGGCAAAAGAGAATAAAACTCTTACAAGATTTTTGTCTAAACGCATAAAAAAAACGGACACACTAGTTGTGTAACCGTTTTTTATTGTTATGGGTATTTTACTATTGACATTTTGTTAATTATTTTGTAACTGGAGTATTTTAATATAATTTATCGATTCCAGAATTTCTACTCGTTGTCTTTTTAAGAAGCGTGTCGGCCGTAGAAGGGGATACAACCAGTGTAATATAAGTGAAACTATTTTTTTACTGAGTTAAGGTTCCTTTTCTTTAAAATAAAGCTTCATAAAATTATTGACAGTGGACAAATTAACGACAATTTAGTTCCACCCCCCAAGGCAACAACCGTGTGTCGGGGGTCACTAGCCTCTACTCTGAACTGTCAGCCTATTTAAATATTTTGAGCGTTCTTTCTTTTAAGCAAGCAAATCCAGCATCACAAATAAACACAACAGGCAAATAAGAACAGCAGAAACTTGTGTATAAAATTATTTTTTTTTTATTAAAATTAAAATTAATTTAAATTAACTAATTAATGTCAATGAATATACAAACCAACTATAAGAACTGGTACATTTTAAAACAATAGGGGAATTGTGTTCATGAACTAAATAATCATGGGAATCTTAGAAAGAATATTGGGCTTGGGAACAACAAAAAAAATAACAAATCATGGGTAGCTTAAAATTATAACAAATCTTTCAAAGTAAAACAATATAACAAATAACAGGAAGTAGAAAATGCAACAAATAACAGGAAGTAGAAAATATAACAAATAACAAGAAGTAGAAAATATAACAAATAACAGGAAGTAGAAAATATAACTATAACAAATAACAGGAAGTAGAAAATATAACAAATAACAGGAAGTAGAAAATATAATAAATCATGGGAAGTCAAACAACATAGCAAATTTGAAGTAAAAAATATAACAAATCATAGGTCAAAACCTGTAACATATGAGAAGTAAAAAAATATAACAAAATACAGGGAGGCAAAAAATATCATTTAAACACCCAATAATCGACTAGTAAAATCAACAATAGAAATACAATAGTATGGTAACAATTAAATGTGTTTAAAAATTGTTTATAGTAAGATTAAGAAACAAACTGGTATACAATTTTAAAATTACAACTGTTTTTAAAAATATTAACCTATTCAAAAAATGTAAGTCATTTTACAATTAAAAATTCATAATACATCTTAATAAACTTTTTTTTTCCAATTTATTTACTCAAACATGGTGATATTAAAAATGCATAAAAACAAGCAATGTATTACAAAAATATTTATATCTTAAAGGCATAGAAAGAAAAACAATATTACAAAAAAATATTTTTAAAAATGTAAAATATAAAAGTATTACAAAGTCTATAAAACCCTTATGCAATTTTTGTACTTTGTTTCCAAGTTAACAAAAGATCTAGAATGAAAACACAAATATTTCATTTGCTTACAAACTAAGAGTAACGAATTTCATTGAAGATTTCCTTTTTTGTGTGATCAAAACATGTACCTAGGCATACATAACAACTTGTAAGTGTGGAGATGGTAACTTACAGTACAAAAAATGTCCATCTAGAATAAAAACAAAAATTTCATTTGCTAACAAACTATATAGGAGTAACAAATTTCATTAAAGATTTCCTTTTTTGTGTGATCAAAACATGTACCTAGGCATACATAAAAGCTTGTAAGTGTGGAGATGGTAAACTATAGTACAAAATTTAAAATTTTTTATCTAGAATTAAATAAAAACAAACATTTTCATTTTCTAACAAACTAGGAGTAACCAATTTCATTAAAGATTTCATTTTTTTTTTGCTCAAAAGCTTGTACATAGGCATATGTAAATATAAAGTTCTTAGTAAACGTAGAACCACACACTATCATATTGTATTACTCATTCCACAACTTTACTTTAGTGATATTTACAATTCAACAACTGTAAAAAAATATTCTGTATTTACTTTAAAAATTTTATTTTTAACATGTGCTAATTTAATCATCATCTCTTCAAGGGTACCCCCTTAAGTTTTCTTTAATTGGTATTGAAATCAGATTACAACATTGAGTTTGCTCTAATGAGTTGAGTAGTTACAGTAAACCTATTCAAATCTCCCTAACCTGTGTCAATCATATTTTATAAATAAAACCTTTTTCTAAACAAATAAAAGGCTAACATTTATCTTCAAATGCCATCTAAGTCTATATTGTACAATGCTAATTATATTTACAATTGAACAACTGTATAGTATATAAAACTAATCTGTAATTCCTTCCAAAAAAATTCATTTTTAGCACATGCAAATATAACCATTACTTCATCCCACATACATTTTATATTTTTGTATTTAAATCAGATATCTATGTTAACGAACTTTTAAGAGTCTATTTTGATCTTTATACATGTTGGATATAAGCACAAAAAGTTTAAAATATCAGTTTTCTCTAGACTTATATAAAAAAACACATCTATTACAATTTGCTTTTTAAAAATGAATCTGGTCTGTCACTGGGCTCTTTGATCTGGCAGCCAGATGAAGATGTCACCATAAGGCTGATGTTGTTCTATACACAGCTGGGCTTTACCAACTTCAACTAGTTAAAATGGAATAAAAAAGGATATTTTTTTATGGCATGTCAGCATTGTTTATATAAATATTTTAGTAACGGAAAAATTTGGTTTATAATCCTAATAAAACAAGACAAAAGGGATTTGTTTACAAGAAACTAATCCAATTTTATAAGTATTTTATAATCCAATGTTAATATCAAAGATAGCTAATGATAAATAGGTATTAAATTATATTTCTTATTAACACGGTTGTAAATTAAATATTCTGGGTAAAATTTTTATTAAAAAAATGCAGTAGTTCAAAGTTTTTCAAGCAGGAGTGTGTGCTTCCTAATGGGTGTGGGGATGTTAAAGTTGACCAGAAATGTAGGGTACATAAAAATATTTTTTTTACAAAGCAAGCATACTAGACATAAAATATAAAATTGTTTTTGAATCGTAAATCGATATGCTAAACTCAAACCAATAATATCTTAAGATTTATGTGCCAAGTTTGCTACTGAACTGCATACTTCAAAACCTGATATAAAATTGATAGTGCAATCATTGTACTGAAGATGTTCATCAGCTCCATTCATCGAGCAACATGTTTGACATGAGAACAAATATATTAGACAATATTTTAAAGTACAACGCCAGTTATGACGTGGCAAAACCCAATTAATTTTAACAGTGTGACATGTCAGGGACTTAAGTGGCACCCCCCAGGGCAGCAGAAAGTGAGGCGCCCAAGACAGACCTGGAGGCAGTCTTCTTGAAGAACTGAAAACAGCAGGGATATCTTAGGAGGCCGCTAAATCAACAGCAAGATCCAGACAAAGTGGAAAGCTATGGTTGATGCCCTATGCTCCACAAGGAGTAAAGAGGGTTAAGTCAAGTGGGCTAAGTCATCTTTAAACAGGGCATATTTTGTGAGGTGGGCAATTAGCTGGACACTTTTTGATGGGAAAGGCATCCAGCAGGAAAGCAGCATGTGGCATTTTAACCTTAGAATGGCAGCCTTCACAAAGAACAAAAAGTATTTTTGACACATCCCATTAAATGATAGGTGAAAATTTTAACATTTAGTAACTAGATCTGAAAAAAAAACCCACAGATTTAGCATAAATTAGTTAAAGCACAAGGCAATGGTAAAAAATAGTTGTTTTACATTCAATTTAGTTTGTGTTGTTATGTGACTTCCAGTTGATGCTTTTTAAAAAACAAGGGAGACAACTTATTACTTTGTTCCCAAAAGTTGTAACAAACACCAAGGAGATATAAAATAAAACGGATTTCATTATTTATCATTTTACTAAATATGAACATAGACAATCTTACAAGACTTTTCATCTCATCTTTTCAAATAATATATTATAGAATTATCGTTTGACTATAATTCAAATAAAAAACTAATAGCTGTATTTACTGCTTAATTCATCGACATCTAATGTTTTAGGTTGAAACAGGAATCACAAACTGCTAGATGCATTTAGTTCTACGAATTTTTAAAAATGTTTTAATAACAAGCTTTATGTAATAATGCACTAAAAAGTAAAAACAAGGTAATTAAAAAGTCTTGTGACAATTTAAGCGCAATTTTCTTATGTTATCTAAAAATAGCTCTGTCGTAGCGTAAATCAAGAGCAGGGTTAGTAAAACCATTGGTTAGTTATTAAAACGTTTTTTATTAATTTTTTTCAGTATTTTACATGTTTTATTTACAATAGAGTTACATGACTAAAAACAATTGCGCGCCTAGCTACTGAACGTGATGACGCAGCCATTGAACGTGATGGCGCAGCTATTGAACGTGATGACGCGTGTGGTGTGGTTGGAAAAAATGCCTACTAATTCGGTCCAAATTTTAATTAATTAAAAAAAATTTTTGTGACCGAACGAAAGGATATTTTTGAAAACTTTCTTCGACAATATTGTTCTAAATTATGGCAGGAATCGATTGGTACATGTTTCAAGTCGCTAAGTGGTCTGGTTGCCGAGATATGGGCAAAAAACTGCTTTTTTTTCTAGGTTTTTTGGCTATTCCGGGAAATCCATGAAAGAAACCCGGAATTTTTATGGCCTATGTTCATTCTCGTAACTTGCTTAACATAATTGCTTTTGGAACTAGTCATCGATATTGCTTCGTTGAGGAGGAGATACGACTTAAAGCCCGGACACACATTCATCCATACATTCATTCATTCATTCATCCATTCCCAGAAATGACGAGTTAATAAACGCAATTCTCCAGAATGGAAATTGCGATAAAAATATTATGCACTACTATTTAAATAACTATAAAGAAAAGCGTGTGAAAATGTGTGTATTTAAAATAGAGTTGCATGACTAAAAAACCATTATGCACACTAGCTAATGAACATTATTGTCAACATTGTTATTAACTAGAAATTGTATTAAATCTTTATTTCCTAAGTGTGGTGAGCGTGGGAGGGTCATTGAAAAAGTTATGCATTTACGATTACTAATCAAACTATTTTAAAGTAAGGGGAGACAACCAAAATATTTATAACTAAGTTTTAAGTCTGGTAGAGTTATTCATGAAACTATATAATACAATGGTTTTAAAACACCACATGCTTTAAAAATAAAACGTGTTTTCTATAGGACTACATCGAGAGTTATAACGTGATCTACTGGATCTAGTAGATCTATATACTGCATGCAGATAATAAGAATACGTGCACAATTTAAAAACAATTATCTAATTCTTGATACACGAACACCGTTTCCGTAGTGTAGTGGTTATCACATCCGCCTAACACGCGGAAGGTCCTGGGTTCAAGCCCCAGCGGAAACACACATTTTTTTTTTTTAAATTTCATTTGCAATATTTAAGGGTTTTATAACGTTTTTTGCATCAAAAACTAGATAAAATTATTATTTTAACTAGAACAACTTGAAAAAGGTCAATAAAAATTTTTTTTAAAACATTTTAATTAACTGCCAATGTAATACTAACATTTGAAATTTCATTTTCATCTTATTTCACATCTTTTTTAATAGCTTAAAGCTACATTTATTTTTACTAACGATAACTAGATCTGTTTTCTATTAATTACTTTTATGAAAAATGAGGCCAATATTTATTTTTTTTTTGAATAAAAGGAGAAAAAGGTTTTCACTTAGTTACAGAATATGTTGTTGCTTTTGTTATTTTATTATAGGCCCTACAGAAATTTGGGTTTGGATTGTCCTCATGTTATAGTTAGGGTGGCATAAAGCCATGTTATATGATCTATGACGTATGGTTAGGGTGGTGTAGAGCCATGTTCTTTGATCTATGTATGGTTAGGGTGGTGTAGAGCCATGTTATATGATCTATGTATGGTTAGGGTGGTGTAGAGCCGTGTTATATGATCTATGTATGGTTAGGGTGGCGTAGAGCCATGTTATATGATCTATGTATGGTTAGGGTGGTGTAGAGCCATGTTATATGATCTATGTATGGTTAAGGTGGTGTAGAACCATGTTATATGATCTATGTATGGTTAAGGTGGTGTAGAACCATGTTATATGATCTATGTATGGTTATAGTGGTGTAGAGCAATGTTATAATTTATATGATCTATGTATGGTTAGGGTGGTGTCAAGAAGTTATACAATACAGCTGTCTTCTGAAGTATGGAAAATGTCTGCTTTTAAGAATTGATGTGAGGTCATTGTGTTGAGCTGTGGAGTGCATGATTACTAATCTGCAAGTCTCCAGTTCAGTTTAGGACATCCCTGAATCCACCCTGCTCTGGTAAATACCTTACTTAATGGGACGGAGTGGTCTAGCAGTAAAGAGTTGGACTTCTAACCCGTAGGTCTCGAGTTCGAATCCAGGTTCAAGTCAGTAGACCGTCCCTGAGTCCACCCAACTCTGATGAGTACCTAACTCATGCCAAGGTCACAGAAACAAGTGAACTTTACTTCATTTGCCCTATAGACCATTAGGTTTGAGAGGGGAACTTAAAAAAAAAATGAAAGACGGTTAGGGGGTAATGCTGAACATAATATCCCTTCATATTCCCTGGCCAGAGAAACAAAACACTTTCATTTTATTGTAACTTAGGATTGGATGAACTCACTTTTGTAGGTGAGAGCTTTTATTGGACAAAATTGTCTAGAAATTGGTGGTGTGTTGACTTTGGTAAAACTTTTCATCTTGTGCTTTTATATAACAGGCTGGTCAGGCAATAGGTAATACAGTCTTGGGTAAAAGTAAAACTGTATTTGCCTGCTTTTATTGTACAGAATGAATGAGTAATAGCCAGTAACCAGGCTGAGATAAAACTATGCTTTTATTGATAAAAGAGTAACTGTTGATGAACACCCTAAGACAGGGGTCGGCAACCTGCGGCTAGCGAGTCGCATGCGGCTCTTTTGGTGTCCAGTTGCGGCTCTTCAACTCCATGCACAAATGCACTCGGTAATAAACTATATAACAATATATATAAACAATAAACATTCACTATTCTATTAGAATATTTAGTTACTCCCTATCTCAGTGTACTTCCTATTACGTTATCCGAATTGAAACATTCAACTTCATAGTGGATATCACAAAGAAACTAAACCAGCTAAGTGTAAAACTGAAAGGAAAACGCACCCTATGTCTTGCTTGAAGAAGTGGTTTGTTTAAAACAAAAATACTTCTTTTTGTTGAATACATGATGAGCAGTAAATTACTTAATTACGAAAAATCTGAAAAAAATATCGTTATGAAACCAATGCTACTATTCAATCACTTCAGCATTAATATAAACAAAATGAAGGGTATTTTCACTGGGAGATTTGAGCTATTCAAAACAAATGCAAGTACTCTGACTTACATAGTAGATCCTCTCAACACAAATTCAAATGAGATTATCTCATATATTCAAAGCTATTTATTTTAAATTATATATATAGTATGATATTTGTTAAGGATTATATACTAAATACTAAACAAATATACTATTGACATTAAAATGTTAGTGGCTCTTTAAAAACCGGGCGATGATGTAATTTATAACTTTTGGCTCTTTCGTCTCAAAAGGTTGCCGACCCCTGCCCTAAGATAAAACTTTTTGCTTTCATAGGACAGGGTGATCACACAGCAGAGGTGATGTTTCACCCATACCCTATCCAGTAAGTTCCTGCCTATCAAGTGAGTTCCTGGTTAAACTTGCTACACTTCAGTCTACACAGCTCTGATACTATAATTAAATTCACTGATTCTATCTAGCTGTGCCCAATGTCTAAAACACCATATATCAAGATACAAAGCTCGGTGCACATCAACAGGATAAGAAACCAGCAGTACATTATCAAGACTGCTACACACCACATAAAGTCTGACTTACAGCAGAGATCTAAGAACATCTTGGCAGCAATGTATCTGGAAGTGTTCTAAACACCACCCCTATATCAAGATACATAGCTCAGTGCACATCAACAGGATAAGAAACCAGCAGTACATTATCAAGACTGCTACACACCACATAAAGCCTGACTTACAGCAGAGATCTAAGAACATCTTGGCAGCGATGTATCTGGAAGTGTTCTAAACACCACCCCTATATCAAGATAGAAAGCTCAGTGCACATCATGGGGTTAAGAAACCAGCAGTACATTATCAAGACTGCTACACACCACATAAAGCCTGACTTACAGCAGAGATCTAAGAACATCTTGGCAGCGATGAATCTGGAAGTGGTAGCTGGTGGACACAGGCTGCGAAATGTCACGGCTTCACGGCTGGCTTTCACAGCTTCTGTCACCATGCTGATGAGCAGAAACCAAGAGGAGTTATAAAATTGTTTCAAGTTGAAGCATAATTTCTGAAAACACTAAGTTAAAAGATGTATTCTGGATATGTTTTCACATTTTCTGCACCAAATATAGAACGTTGTTTTAAATAATCCACCTACCCACATCTGAATCTGCTCAGGATTGGATTGAATGCTATTAATGATAGGTCTATATTCTTATGATTACTGTTTATTAAAAATATAAGTGCTTGAAAATGCACATTTTATTCAAAATAATGGATTGCAGATAAATGTGTCATGCAACTTACATAATGCTATAACTTTTTAACATTTAATAAATATATATTTTATTTCAAAATTATTTTTAATTTGATCAGACAAAATTAATTTAGACAATTATTTTGCCAGTTAGATTGTTGGGCATAAAAGGTAAATAAAAACTAAACCCTAATAGGATGAAAAGAATGTTGACAAAATTCAGCATACAAATACAAAATGCCAGCATGCCAATTAAAAATGCGTTGCCTAAAAATTTCATCATAAAATAGACTTATAAATCCTAGGTCAAATAAGAGAGTATATATTACATCATACTAATCTTATCCACCTAAAAAACTTCATCATAACAATAGGTTTCTAGATCCTAGCAAAAATAGTAAGTGTTTATATATTCCATCATACAATTCTTACCCAAGAATAGGTTTCTCTGGAAGAACTGGTGAAACACGATGAGGTAATGGAATTGATACATCAAAAGATTCATCTACAAATAATGAAACTACTGGTTATAGGAAGTTTCAAATTATTGTGTCTATAATGCAGTGTTTTTCATTAAATTTACTTGTAAAATACTTTACAGTAGCAAGTGATCAAAAGTCAATGCCTTTTAATAACTATCATATTTTTAAAATTTCAAAATTTAAGTAGAAATAAAGATATCCTGAAACAAAATAAAAAACAAGTCAAAACCGCTTCAGTTGTATAATATACCATCGTGACAGCTAATTTTGTTATATATATATATATATATATATATATATATATATATATATATATATATATATACACGCAACCAAACCATGTAAAGTACCTTTTTGCACCAAAGCAGGTGGACTCAGTAGTTGCTCATGTTCCTCTTGTAATGTGGGTAGAACTCCCAGGCTTATGTTCTGAGCAGGATCAACAAGGACAGGCTCGTCTATGCCAGACTTCTCCCACTCAGCATGCATTCCTGATCTCCTGGCGCTAAAACGGTTTGATAAAAGTACAAGTTGAAAACTTCATACCTAATTTCCTATTGCTAATTTTATTTAATAACGAACATGTTCAAAATTGCATACATGATCACCAAGTGCTAAAATTGTATTAAAAAAAGTACATTCTAAAAATTTCAAATTAGACAGATATCATACCAATGTAACTAGAAACCAAAATAAAACTGGAATTTTTTTCTCCATCCTGGTATTATGGTATTGCAAAAATATCAACAAATAATTCAAGATGTTTCCAAGATTTTTATGGATGAAATTTGAAAATTTCAGATAAGATTAAAACAATTCAGATGTAAGTTTAAAAAAGCACCAGCTGTATGATTTTCTTTAAATGGAATCGGAAAAAATTATTTTAAAAATGAGTATGACCTTATACTCAAGGAAGACTCATCGCTTGATAGACCCACTATAGAATGACTTCTTTCTGCACCTTCGGCTGATCGAGCAGATGTGTCCCTTATTCGTTCCACAGACAATGGAATTGAAACCTGTCAAAAAAGAAATGTGGATTTTAAACTTCTGGAAACTTTGTTCAGCTGAGGTGATACCATTATATATATTGCCATCACAAAAAGTTAAACCCCGCCTTCAAAAATGTTGTCTTACTCAAGTCTATCTCAATTTTTTTTTTCAAAGGATTTTTTTTTAAAATGTAAACTAAGCTGAAACTAGAATACTGGATTTTCTTATTACAAAATGAATTTTAAACCAATATAAAATAACAGTTAATGCAAAAGAAGAAGTATGATGGACAAACCATATATAAAACCTTATAAAATACTAACATCTTTTTTCAGCTGTTTTTCCGGAGTATCTCCTTTGGCTGTTGCTGAAGGTCTTTTGCGTTTGATGATTTCTGAAACAGTAATGGAATAAAACATGTTTTTTAGAAAGGGTAACATAGAGCATACATATCCTCAAGTTCTGTACTAAAGAAAATAAACGACTCACCAGGTAAGGAGGGACTAGTGAAAGAGGATGAAGACTCTGATTCTGTGTCGTAAGCTCGTAATCCTAAAACACAGTTTCTCTTCCATAAATTTACCAGTGACATGCTGGTGAGGTCTATAGGCAGATATTATAATTTACAATTTAAAACTAAAATAAACCTACATACATAATTATACAGCTGAAAATACAAACAATGAATGCCAACAAAAATGTTTATAAATTAAATTTTATTGCAGGTTTGTTCTGATGGAAAGCTTGAAAAATTATTTCTGATTAATAAACTCACTGTTCTTTGAAATTATAAAAATGTGTGATTTACTTTAGATGTAGATGGCTGAGTCAGCTATTTGATAACTAGTGTAGAAAAATGCAAGATAGCAACAATGGTTCAGGAACCCAAACTTTTAATTTTGGACTTACGTGATGTTGGATCCCTACTGCTAGGCTTGAATGCCCTACTCAAAATTAGAGTCCTCAACATTAATTTTAAAACTGCTGTGTAAACAAAAATTTACTCACAACGACTGCCAGGGTTCTTGAATAAATCCTTCTGCTGTAAAACTGGTATAATCTACAAGATTGTGTAATTAAAGCAATTTATAAATCATGTTAGTTTTGCTGAATTAAAAAAATATTTTATTAACCAATCTTTAAAATTTTAATTCTAATAAATATAATTAATATAATAAGTTCTAATCTATGAAAAAAAATAAAGATTGAATTAGAAAAAACCTGAAATTTTTAAAGTGTTATTTAAATTTTAAAAAAATAAAAACTACTAGACAATCACATAAATAGAATAAGACTTACAAAAGGTAATGAAGTAGTGTGTGAGGTTGTCATGTTTGATCTGATCTCTGATCGATGCAGCTGTAGCTTCTCATCTATAATGAGTCTGCTTGGTTTGCGCCTTCTGGCAGGGCTAGGTGTTAGGGCATCTGCTGGCTCACTCAGTATGCATGGTCTCTGGTGAAAAAGTTTTAAATGTACTCGTGGGGCTCTACATAGACGACATCATGCTTATATATAAAATCATATTCATCCAACCAATTCATTAACACCCCACCCTAAACCCGAACGCACACAATAACCATAACCCTAATTAAAGCTAAACTATTATTCATTATTTAAAACAATGTTGAAGTGAGGTATCTATGGACAACATCTAGGGTGAAAAAGGGAATGTGTTTCAATCTTGCCTTTTTGTAGCATATCAGGTACTAGTAAAGTACTTTGTAGCATATCTGATGCTGCTAACGTGCCTTGTTTGGAGCCTATAAGTGCAGTGTTTGATATTGTTTGTTGAGTGAAGCATGATAGGTTCTAGTGAAGTATGTTGCATGTTGGTTATAATAAATTTATATGCTGTTGTACTGTAGTGTGCTTTGTAAGGCTTGATTTTTTTTAGTTTAGTTTAGACCAAAGTCAAACTTAAAATGGCATGTGATTTTGTGTGGTTTAGTCAGTGCAACAAAAACAAGCATTCAGGGATTATGTATACATGTCAGTGCAGACATATTTTTAAATGTACAAGTTAATAAGTGTTGAACTACGCTAGTAGCCTACTTTCTGTAGCCAGTCATGTCCCTTGGGTACCACAGGGGATAGAAGTCTGCCGTCTGCTCCAACAACAACAGGTTCAAGCATCAGCTGATCATCATGGGTGACAACTTGTTCTTCCAGCTGTTGGCTTCCTTCTTAACATAAAAATGAAGAAAAAAACAACTCTATTTATCTATCTATCTGTCTGTCTGTCTGTCTGTCTGTCTATCTATCTATCTATCTATCTATCTATCTATCTATCTATCTATATATATATATATATATATCTATATCTATATATATATATATCTATATATATATATCTATATATCTATATATATATATATATCTATATATATATATATATATATATATATATATATATATATATATATATATATAGACAGACATAAAACTGAACTTTTCAAAAACCAAAAGGTATATTTTTTCTCTCCTTATTTTAATCTAAAAACATTTTCTAAAATTAGGGCTTAGCTTAACAAATGTAAAAATATTTGAAGTTTAGAGGACAACTTATTTTATAACATGGATTAGGGGTCGAGTCGGTAAAGCTCATGGTTGCTAAACCGAAAAGTCTCGAGTTCGAACCCTCGGGCAGATGAGGCTCGTTAGCTGGGGACAGCCACTCTTCTAGGAGAGACAACTCCAAAAATTAAACAACTGCTGCCTTGTATTTTGTTCTTGGTTGGACAAAGGCTATGGAAGCAAATCCAAAAAGAAAAGCAGGCTGAAATCGGAGTCAATGGCCATCAATGGCGCATAACCAGTTGACACGTAACGCTTAATTGTGTTAGAGGCGTGCTCGAGTCGGCAAAAAGCTTATGGTTGATAAATTTGAACAAAGTCTCGAGTTCAAACCCACTGGCAGATAAATCTCGATCCCCTTCAACACTAATAATTAAGAACGAAGAAGAAGAAAGAAATAACATGGATTGAATTAACTGTACAACTGAATTAAATGTACAACAATATTAGGATTGAATTACCCATAACTGTTTCTTCTTCCCTTTGTAGTGTCTTTTTTCCATCTGGGGACTGTAGAGGCCGTTTTCTCTTTGGTTTTTGTGGAGTACTGGGCATGGCTCCACCTGTTTTTACAGCTGGTGTTTCTTCAAGAAAAGCTCTAGTGGGGCTATTTTGTATAAAACAGTTTTAAAAGTCTGCCAAAAATATTTGTTTTAATTATTGATACTTAGCTTTAATGCAGCTTTTGTTGTTATTAGAATAAGCCTACTAGTAATGATTACAATTTTTTTTTTTATATAACACTTCACAGTAAACAGTTTGATTAGCCCATATAGTAACCATAAGATCTTTTTACAGAACGTTAGGTTAAAAAGAGGTTCATGTGGTTATAAGAATATCATGGGGGGAATAATATAGTTAATATTAGAATAACTTTTTCCTTTGCCAATCTATTGCCTAGCTTAGACTGTGGGTAGTATTTGTGTGTTATAGAATCTGTTTATTTAAAACAGCCTTCCCAGATACTTCGATAGTTTAAACCCTTTGTACTCATGCTTGCCACATTCACAAGTATTAGTTTTTAGTACAGACATTTTGTTTAAAATGTTAGTTATAGATGCTTTAAAAAAAAATAAAAACCTACCCTGTTTGGATGTCCATATCTGTCACTTCTGTTGGTCTCAGGATTCTTGAGATTCTGGGACTCATCATCTCTTCGGCTGAGATCTGGATATCTTCATCCGTCTGGTGCAGCAGGGCCAGGTTATCCACATCCAGCATGGGTAAATCTTGTTCTCCTGGCATCTGGTAACGGTAAAATAAGGTTCCTGGTCATAAAACTTTGGACATAAACCCCATGCGCTGTGACTGGGCACCCAAAAAATTACCTAATGGAACTTGTGGTAATGTTTTAATCCATACATTCTCTTCCATACCATCCTTTCAACTGCTTGAGGTTTATTAGCTAGAACTATATCTATAACCAATGTCTCAAGTTCAGATCTTGGTATTGAGTTGGTATGACGTCCCAGCTCTGATGGGTACCTGACTCATGCCAAGGGCTCCAGGTCATAACCCATGGACGAAAACCCCAGCTACATAAACCTCCGGGACTATAACCCTTTGTCAGGGAAACTAGGGAGGACGGGCACAGAGCTCATCAGACTATCACCTGCTAAGCTGCGTATGCAGAGATCACTAAAATAGCTGAACTACTTCATCTGCTCCATGTGTTTTGGGCACAAACAGGAAGAGATATGGGTAACCTGTCAGTAGGCCTGCTAAACCAGTGGAATAAAGCGGTTAACTTCTAAAAGTCATGGTAAATACTAAGCTAAAGACAATTTGTTGGAATAATCATACCATTGGGTTTATAGGCAGATAGAGATCATCTTGGATTTGAATGTCTCTTGGATCAGAAACTGAATGAGGTGATCCTACTTCTGTCATTACAAAAAAAAAAATACAAATGATTGAACTGTACAAAAACAAAGTGCAGGAAATCAAAAATTACAAATCCATTTAAACAAAATCATACCTGCTGTGACTGAAGGAGGCAAGGTAATAGACTGGTTACATTGTTCCAAATAACCTGTATCCCAAGCTTCCTGGAAAGTGTTTTAAAAATGTGTTAAATTTTGTTCCTGCTTAACACTATAGTGATCAAATAAAGGAGAATAAAAAATAATTGTTTTTTACATTTTCTAAAAAAAAAAAAAAAAAAAAAAAACTAGAGGCCTATACTAATTCAATGTGAATAATAAAATGTGAAACTTTTGTTTATTTTTAGTTCTTTAAGAAAAGTAAATGTACAAGCTGAAATGTAGGCCTATTTATTACTATAAATATTTAGGGCTATAAAAATTTTAAACAATGTAGTAGACTAACAATTTGCTTGTATGAGTTTGTTTTAGATAATTTTTTTGAGCAAATAAACTACTGTATTATCACTGCTAGATTAGACAATTCATTTATTATCTTTTTTTATTAAAATAATTTATAACTTCAAAAAGAAAAAACAAAGAGAGATATGGATTTAAATGAAAAATAGCAACAACAAACAAACAAAAATTAGAACTCCAGAAACAGAATCTTCCAACAACTGCGATACACTACCAACAGAGCCTCAACATCCACGGTTGAGTCTTTAAATGCCCCAAAAAATGGGTCATAGAATTTATCTTTGATGCTGACAGGCACACATGATTCAATGGTGACCACATCATGTCTAAAAAATATCATTACTTTTAGGCTCCACAAACCACAGGTACTAGCAGTCAAAAAACAAAATTTAAATATTTCTAATGTTTAGGCTTAAAAATTTACCTTTTAAGATTATTTTTCAAAACCAATGGCATAGGGTCTATCCCCAGCTAAAAATTGGTGATCATAGAATTAATCTAATTAAACGAAGTGACTACTCGAAAAAAGATGTTTCGGCAGAAAATACAAAACTCAATTGCTTGCAGTAACCTTAATAGCTGTACTAGGGTTAGGGATATGTATAGAGTTCTACGGTTATTGCGCATGTGTGTCTTTTTCCAGCTAGAATAGGCCAATGAAAAAGTAAATGGATAAAATACTTAAGTTTCAAATGCTTGCAAGAAGGTAAACTGATTCCTAGGTACCCGTTGCATTTGCTTTCAAAGAAGTACAAATTTTCACACAAATAATATTTCAGTTACACCTACATCTTATAGTATGCTATAGAATCTATTAAAATAAACAATATTTACCTTAGTATTACAAGATCTATTTCATTTGTTGTGCTTATGTCTGGATAAAAATGTCTAAGCAAGGATGAAACATCAGCTAAAAGTAAAGTAAACACAGCATTGTCAAAGACCAAGAATAGTACACACAAAAAATTAATATGAAAAAATAAAAAGAATTGTGGATATTTAAACTGATTGGGTTAGGCTACCGATCTAAATTATGTAAAATATTTTGCATAGCTTGTGATATAAGGCCTTTGTTTTTCCTCAGTACTTAAACCCTATTTTGGTGCTTTTCATTTAGCTCACTCTATGAATCAAATTTTCCAAACTGTTGATGATGATATTTAAATTTAGAAGTTTCATTCAATACTATTCCCCAATTCAATTTTTATATTTTAAACATGCTAAAAATATAATCAAATCATTTACTAAGTAGACATTCCCACTGTTTTTGAAGTATTTTGACAGAGCCATACATCAGCTGGGAGGAAAGATACAGTGAGAATCTGCGAGGCCGCTTGTAAGTTCCATGTCCTACACTTCCTGGAATGTGCTCTAGAATATCGGAGCTGAAAGATGACAAAAGACTCATTAGGGAAACAACTTAACAAAAAATAAATTTAAAAAAAAAAAATTTGAAAAGATTTCAAAAACTTTTTTCTCATAGTTCGTTTTGATTATGATGGATTTTGATTGACTTTTTTAATTGTAAAAAAAAATACATGTTTTAGTTCTACGCCTGGAGTAATATGTTTGATATTCAGCACCAGTGTTTTTCAATAGCAAGATGGATACTAATAAAAGTCAACATTTGATACTTTTAACTTTTAGTAAAAAAATGAGTTGATTTTTTTGTTTTTACTTTTTTAAAATTTTGGAAAGATTCCTCTAAATTGGATTTGTCAAGAACAAAATGCTAAAGAACCAAAACAAATCTTGTTACATAGTAATATTAATTGAACCAAAGTGCTTTTTTAAAGGCCACATCAGAACAAGAAGCTACAAATCTCCAGTAAAGAAGTCTTTAACTTAATACTTTTTTTTTTATGATGATGTTTGTGTAATCTAATCATAAGCTTCAGAAAAAAAAAGACTAATTTTAAAGGCTAATAGCTTATTCTACTGTGGGCATAAATAACCTTCAACAGATTTCTAACGACATCCCTTTAGCTATTTTAAACTTAAATCTTAGAGCGGCTTTCTTCTACCCTTTAGCTATTTTAAACTTAATTCTTTGAGCGGCATTACCACCCACAAGATATAGCCTGCACATTTACCTAATCCCAAAACAATAAGGTTGCATATAATTTTCTGCTCAAATGCCCTAGATGTGTATCTTGTAAAGTAATTTGAAGAATATGACAAGGTTATAACTGTAGTTGTAGCTTGAAATTCAATATTAGATATCATTATGAGTGTGTCATAATAGATGTAACTGTGACATGTAATGAATAAAAAATTACTAATGTCTTGTAACATTTAAATACATTCTTGTAATCAGACCAGACCAGGTTATAAAAAAAGGGGTTGTGACTCAAATTAACCAGAATCTGTTATGCTTATGATCACAGAAAGGATCTCTGTAATAATGCTTTTTCAGGAATAGCTCTTTTCCTGCATGAGTGGTCGTGTTAAATTAATGTAATGTTTATAACTTTAGCACAGAAATAATCATAATGTGTGAGTTAGTAAGTTAGTATCAGTATAGATAATGAACATATATTTTTTATCAGTATTAAGTCGAGAAAAAAATACTTAAACATGGATTCAATAAAAGGAATATTTCAAATCTCTAAATAATGACCATGTTATAGAAATATTGACAGCTTGCAGTTCTCTTTTGTTAAGTATTCTGGACTGGGTGGCTGCGAGCCTAAAATGAAAAAAAAATGTCATAGCTAAATTATCAGTCATCACAATTTTAAATAAACTAAATTCAACTAGATTGTAGATCTAGTCTAAATAGTAAATTAAATACTAAATACTAAGGTGCACTAACTACTAGTAAATAGAGCTAATCTAAAGTTTTGTCTAAAGAAGTAGTGTAAAGTTAATGACTGTTAATGTAGATCTCTAAACTCTAACTAAACTCTAAAAATTAAATGTCATTATTTTTACTAAACATTTTAGTATTTATTTTTAATATTTTAGCAATTTAAGACTAATTCAATGTAATTATTATAATTTATAATTATAATATATTATTATTTAGAATATAAATTTAGATATAGATCTAGATTCTAGTCTAGAATCTAGATTTCTAGATCTAGAGGAATAGTAGTCTAAGACACTCTAAGACAAGTCTAACTCTAAGACGTTTAAGAATTTACCAAACTAATCCGAATCTTCCATTTCTTCTTAAATACACATGACTGTAAAACATTGTTGATGCCTCTGGTGTCTCAACTCTTAACTTTTAAACTTAATGATGTGAACTGAACTGTGAATTAATAACTTAAGTTTGAAGTTCGGCTACCCCGCTACGGCAAGGGCCTACGGCACACCCTAAAGAAAAAAAATACTGAAATTTGTATATAATATATAGGCTAGATCTAATCTAGATATCTACACTGGATATAGAAAATACAAATAGAGATCTAGACTCTAGATCTAGATCTAGAGACAGCTTTACAGTTAGGTTTTAGCAACGCAGACTGAAGATGTGGAACAGGCCAAACTAACGCTTGAATTTGTCTTATCTACGCGCGAAAGAACTAAGATATAAAAGTAAAAGGCTATGTGATGTTATGATATATCTATAAAAACATGGATAATTTATAAACGACAATAAACTTTTGGTTCTCTTTTTTAATTTTTTATCACTAAAACATAGATCTAGATCTATCAGCTTAAATAAAATATGTTTTTAATTGCTTTAATGTATTATATTTTAAAATGACCATTTTCTAAAATAATATTTCTTTATTTGTGAGTTAGCTAAGTGCTAAATAGGCCACTAGATCTACTTGTTTTTGATAAACATAGGCTAGTGACATGATTCACTTCCGTTTCTGATTCTGTGTACACAGTGTGTGTATGGCAGAAATCCTAACACACTGCCTTAAAAAGTCTTGTTTATTTTGTACTAGATTTGGAACGAACAGCAGTATTAGGATATATAGAAAAATGCCACCTCCAGATAGGTTAATCATGATTTATTATTGATCTAGTCTAGTTCGTTCACTCTTTCCCATCAAAATCTAGAGATCAGATTGTGATTGATGATTCTGTTGATCTGTTGAAATTGAAACTGAAAGTCACAAAGTTCTAAGTTTGGCTTGCTGTTTGACTGTTTACTCCAGTTTTAGTTTAATTTATTATTAGGCTATTTTAATTAATTATTATTATTAGCCGATTAAAGTAATTAGGGCCTAGTAAAGTGTTTGAGTTTGAAACTTGTTACTAGTCTAGAATCTAGCTAGATCTAGAAAAGAAATCTAGGTAGTACTAGTAACTAGTTAGATTCTAGATCTAGATTAAAAATTCTAGATTAGTTGTGTTATCATCTATTGTTAGTAGTAGTCTGGCGCATTGCTTAGATGGTAGGATTGACCTCTGACCCTGAAACGTCACGCGTCGTTTTCTGACGGGTTTTACGTTTATTTTAGGGGTCCCATCCACGACAAATGAAAAAACTGTTTATATCGCAAATTCTCATCATTATTTTAATGCAAATTGCTAATAAAATGGATAATATGCCATAGAATGCCAGAAAAAATCGCAAGATTCGTGGTTGTAAATAATGAGAGCATGTCCAGTGGAGCACTCTCCGTAAAAACTGAACCGCCGCCAAAAACGACCGACTAACGGGGAAAACGGCTCGACTAACTGTACATTAATATATAATTGATATATTTATCATGTATATTTACAGTATTTTTGATTACTTTTTCCAAAATCTCACTCGAGGATGAGGTACCCCCGCTGACATTTCTATCCGCTATTTTTAGTATCATGACGTCATTGTTACGCTAGTTACCTCACAGAAACAACTAGTTTTTGTTTTTTGCGGAATGAACTGTTAAATCTAGTATTTTAATTATAATTCAATTGTAGCATGTGCGGAAAAAGTAAAATTATGGACATTATTATTGTATTAGTAATTTTATTAGTATATTGATTTTTTTTCTTCACTGTGGGCCGACAGTTGCTGCATTCGTGACCTGTGGTTAACCTCGTCAACGCTGCGTGGCCTATTCGTTATACTATTATATAAAATCAGTGATGCTCGTTCAGTGGCCTTTTTCAAAGCTAGGCCTAATTACGGGCGATTTTTAGACTTAATTGATCGGCCGTTAGCCTTTTTCATTGCTGCGTATTTTAAAAAATGCTCGTTCAGCGGCCTTTTTTTTTGCGCTAAATAATCTGTTTACGGGCATTTTAAACGTTTATTTATTTTTTATTTTTTTTAAGCTAGACGTAGATCTAGTTTTAAAAAAAATAATTTTTATACAGCTGGCTGTCTAGCATGCCTGATAATGATATGTGAACTTTTAAAAAAATGACCGAACTTAAAAAAAATGTCCAGAAGTAGGGAAGTAGGTCTGTTTTTCAATTTGCTTGAAGAAAGGGGGGGGGGGAGGGAAGAGAGAGAGAGAGAAGTGAAGACACCGACCATCTCGTGTACGCGTGTTCATTCTATGACGTGTACTATAGGCCTGCTGAACTCACGGTGACCCGCGACCGTGGTGGGATTTTTCATCCACAGGATAGTAAACGTAAGCAAGCAATCACGCGAGTGACGATGTTTGGAGATTTTATTTTTAAAAAAAAATCACATACGTCATGTTTTCAAGATGAAAAAAAAATGTAATGTAAAAAAAAAAAAAAAGACACTAATACCATGTATGAACCTCAGCTGCCACACTGTTGACTCAATATAAAGTGATTGAGTGTAAAATGTATTTTTATTTATAAACTATCTTAACTATTACACTATCATATTATTTTATGCATATATTATTTAAAATTAGGATTTGAAATAAAAATATTTATTATGGTCATTTGATTTATGCAGGTGCTCATTATTTCATAAAATGGATAACATGTATAGTAGAATTTAATAAATAATAAAATAACTAGATCTAGTTTTATTATCAACCAGTTGCTTTTTGTTCAGTTGCTTTTTGTTATTTTCCGGTGAGTAAATAACCTAAGCTGACGCAATTACCATGGCGGGAATTAATAGCTCGTGTACACACGTCCACGACGTAATGTTATGCCGGTCGAGGGGCTAAAACGCGGTTTTGTCTTTCATTTTCCAATATCGGAAAAATTTCAAATTCTCTCTTTTCTCGTCAACCGAGTAAGCTAGATATTCAAATGTGGTGTCAAATGTTCTCTTAAGGGGTAAGGAACTTAATGGTGTATTTGAAATAACAGAATATTTTATTTAAAAAAATCCATAATTCAACCTATTAGTAGATCTAGTAGTAGTCAATGGAGGCGAGTGAGTTGACGAGAGTCCTTCCATCATGCTGTTGACATGGAATATAAACATTAAACATGCTTTTTTTAGATTTAGCAAACTAAGCTACTGTAAAATTAATAAAAACTAAAAACCTAAGGCCTAAGACTAAAATTAAATTTATATTTTTAGAATCAATTCTATAAAAGTTACAAATCCAGAGAACTTCACTTGAAAATAATTTGTTGAGTTTAAGGCTTAAGGCTACATTGCTATTTATTTTCATCAAGCCTAAGTTATAACTGAGAACTCCATGATCGATAACTATTTGTTTACAAAACTTTGCAGATAAAGTTTTTAATTTTTTAAATAACAATGCAAATTTAAACCCCCTGACCTAGTTTTCCTTTTTTTTTTCGCTTACAATGTGTACAATAAAATTTATGGCAGCCTATCGAATAGCAGGATGCCATTGTTTATGTCGCCATTACACGTGAAAAACAAATTGTTTTTGTTTTGTTTTTTACTTAAGTTACAGAAAATATTAAAAACATCAATCCAATCTTTAGTAAAGTTTGAAATAAACCAGACAGGCAGGATTTTATAAACATATTAATTGTAACTGCGCAGTGCATGATTTTTAAATTATTTAATGGGCCTCTCGGATGCTGTCTGTCTCGCGTCCATTGCCTGTGTTGACATTTTGATAAAAATATCCAAATTGTTTAGGAGTTTTAGCCCTATTTATCGAAAAAATAGCGATAATCCACTTTTATTGTCTACCTAAGGACTACATTAAATACTTGTCTATCTAGCTCTACTCTAGCATATTCATAGTATTGTTATTTATCACAAAAGGCCTTTTTTTTTTTCATTTATTTTATTAAGCCTAATAAAATATGAATCACATCATTTTAAAATGTATTGTTTTATATTATTTAATGGGTGTTGGTAAATTTTGAAATGACGAGGCGGTAAATTGCAAAAAAAGTAGCAAAAAACCCTCGTCACGTAAAGTTTTTGTCTAATCTACACCCAACTGATACTAAAGCTGAGTGGGGGTGAAATACAAAGTCCTTTAGCATCATTAGTTTTATTCCTCTACCATTTAATGTAAATGAAACTGGCTTCCATCTTAGTATAATGTGCTGGTGTGGGGTGGATAACAAAAAACAAACCTGGAAGCTAAATTTGAGAAATGGCCTAAAACTTAAAAGAGTGCAGTGGATGAAATATTTGAAGAAAAAAAATGCATACAGTACAGGAATTCAATCTGCACGCTTGGGATCCTGAACCTATGATGGCACCAATTATGAGTGGATATTCACCTATATGCCTCACACTGACCATTATCGTCCATAGCTGAGAGTTGTCAACATTTTTTAACAAATATTTTAGTTCCCAGATATGAGCTACCGTCCCAAATTTGGTTTCTAATGAATTAAGAATTCTGTGGTACTGCTAAATTCAAGAAATACATAAATCTACATACATTTTATAAGAATCTTAGGCAACAATGAATACTACGGGCATCTGAACAATGCAATGTATATTATGCAGGCTTATTTTATTTTGCTATGTTTGACTCAGCAGATTTTATTTTTATGTTTGTTTATAGTTGCTTTTTAAATTGTTGTAGGTGGGAAAACTATAGTCCCCTTGGCAAAGTTATTCCAGGAACATCATTCATAGCATTCAAAGTTCCACTTAAAGAGGTATTTTTATTTTACAATTTGTATCTTTTATACATTTTATAGCTAAATAACATTTTCTTTAGCCCATTAATGATCCTTATCTGTAAATAGAGGAAAAGATTCTTAATAGTGCAGTATTTATCATTTTTTGTATTGTCATTTATTCTCTGTATTGCTTTTTTAGGAGCTGTTAAAGAAGATCGATGAGAAAGAAAAGTATGTTTATTTAAAGTTTATTCTAAGTTCCAACTTGTTTGCATATTTTTTATTTGTTTATCTATGTAACTACAGTACTGTAGAGGCACACAAGGCTACTGATATTTTGTTTTTCTTTAATTATTTAGATTTTCACCAGCTATTCTGATACAAACCTTAGAGAATCAAGGTCATAAATTGGGAGGAATCATTGATTTGACATACACATTGAAATACTATGATAAAAAGGTAAGCATCTTTTTGTGTTCATTTTTATTTTAAACTGTTTTTAATGCATTGAGAATACAACCTTCCTTCATTTAATAATTATTATTTTAAATACATTGGCATATTTGTTTTTTATTCACTAGGAATTTGTACAGAATTCAATAGGCCATGCTAAGGTTTTTACAAAGGGTCATGAAGTCCCAAGTCAAGATGTTTTTCAAAGGTTTGCATCCCCAAACCCCCTCCCTTTTTAATTATATGCAATAGAAATATTTTTAATGATTAAGTATAAAGCCTTCCATTACAAATAGATTTGCACAATAATTATTTATATTACTCTAACATTCTTTTCTGTTTTTATAGATTTGCTGGGGCTGTTAAATTGTTTGACAAAGAAGGTATGTTACAAAAATTAACTACAATTATGTGTTTGCTTTTTATGATAGATGATTTTGCATAGTTAACAAACTTTAGTGCTAGGCATCAATACTTAGCCTTAGGGTAGTTTATTTTTATAAATTGTATCTACTAAATATTATTTAGATCTTAGTTTGAAAGGATTTCTCTTGTCAATTTATTAATCTATTTATCTTAACAAAATTGTTCTCAACACAGATCTCTCTTTTAATAACCTAGCACTTTGGCTTCTATAACAACACTTATCATTCTAGCAAAATAAATAAATACAACTATTATAGTTGTAAAATGAATTTTCTTTCACATTTTTCTTCTGTTTGACTAAATATAAAGCTCATGAGCTTTAACACAGGAAACTGTGTGTTTAGTCCTTTTGGATAATTTAATATTGCTCACCTAATTAACCCGAAACAAAGTGATATATTGATGTCAGTGATGTTATTTCTGATTTTAAATATATTTTTAAACTCCTCAGGAAGTCTAGTTGGTGTACACTGTACACATGGAGTGAACAGAACAGGTTACCTTATATGCAGGTATATTTATAATGTCGTAAACAAGGCTTAGTAATTAAATAACTACTGTAAATTTTGTACATTATGTTTGAGATTTTATGTTTGTGTTTTCATGAAGTGTTTTATTTTGACTATTCTGTTTAAACAGGTATATGATAGAGGAGTTGAATATGGAACCAGAAATAGCAATTCAGTGTAAGTTTATTCTATATATTTTCATTTATGTTTATTTATTTTGTGTGTGACTTTGAGCTCTGTTTAAATTTTTTGTTTCTTTCTTTTCAGTGTTTAATGATGCTAGGGGTCATAATTTAGAGAGAGAGAACTACTTGGAAGATTTAAAACAAAGAAAAAAGTAAGTATGGTGCAATAATACTGGTGCATAAAAGTATAATATTCTAATAAGGAAGTGCTAGTTAGTCTTGTGGTGAGGGCAAGATTTCTAACTCGAGGCTGATCAGTCCTCCGAGTCCTATTCCTGGTAATGTTTCTGTGGGTGCTTGAGTTAGTGAAAGTAAAGTCAGCCGTGCATCATGCAGACCACACAATTTCAAAAGAAACACTACTTAATTTGATTCATGGACTGTTAGGTCTGTAAGACTACGTAGCATGTTATACCACTATAACATATGGCCAGTCTTCCTACTATAAGATATGACCTGTCATTCCACTATAACATATGGCCTGTTGTCCCACTATAACATATGGCCTGTCATCCCACTATAACATATGGCCAGTCATCCATCTTGAACAAATAGCTATTGATACCACATAACATAGACTGGAAGAAGGAGTTTTCCAAGTTCTTGATTCAACTGTCCCCCATCATTTCTGACACATCTAGTTTTTTGTAAAAACGGACTGTATGTAAACTTTATTTTTTTTACCTTGTATATTTCAGGGGAGAGTCAACATGTGATCCAAACTACAAATTTGAAGAAGAAAAGATCCACCCAGAGAAGGAAAGGTGGAGAAAAAATAGGTCGGACCATCCCAATTGGCGCCAGAGTAGAGACAACCATGGCGAGACAAGCTCTGGTAATAATGCTAATGGTTTTATTGAAACTGGTCTCAATGGTTCTCATGTTCCATGGGGGTCTGGGCTGAGAGACCCAGCTTTTCAAGCCTACACTCATCGTCACATGAATGAAGGTTATGACTATTCTTGTCCTAGATATGGTTACAGGAACCATTATCGTTACGATGATTATAGATCAAATTATAATAATAATTATTCTCATCATGAATCTAACTATGATAGAAGTAACTATAGGCCTGACAGAAGGCCTTATGATAGAAGGGAATACCACAGAGAAGACAGTTCTACTTATAGTAGAGTTCCCCAAAAACGAAGAAGTGGTGATATAGACTATGATTCAAAAAAGAAAAAACTTGAGGAAGGTTATGAAAAGCCTAGTGGCTGTAATGAGTAGATAAGTAACTTCACAATTCGAAATATTTTTATTTTTTGGGCAGCAAATTTTATGTACATAAAAATAAAACATGCATACAAATTGATTTTGTTGCCTTTTACCATTGTACATTTGTTGTTTACTTTCATGTATGATTTTTAAATTAATTGTATTAATGAAATATGCTACAAATAACCATGGTTGATAGATTCTGCTTGTAGCACATTTTAAAAACACAATGTTGTTTTACTTTGCTTACATTTTAGATTGTGGATCATGTTTACTGTGTTTTAGCACATATTTTTAATCACTTTGTACAGCTTTATTCTGATAAATTAAAATAAGATAATTATTGGATTGTCTCTTGAGATTTGAAGTTAATAAGCTGATAATTCGAGCATGTTGATTTTATGAATTCTAAAATCTTTGACTCCACAATGCAACAATCTGTGATGCTAACTTGTTTCAATGTGTGTGTGAAAAAGTTTTGCATTATGTTTTAATATGGTATGTTTTGATATTAATATTGTTGTACATTTTTATTAAATTATGAAAGTGCTTTGAAAATACAACTATTGATTATTTAATCGCAGTCATTTTAGTATGTTAATCACTCATAAATTGTAAATTCAGAACAGGTGTATTTGTTTTGTTTTTTTTTAATTATAATTTCTTGTTAAACTGGCTTAAAGCAACTTACTGTATTTGGGTCAGGTTCTTTTTAATAGTTTTAAAATTCTGAACTAAATAATATACAAAATAAATATTTCCATTTGCAAAAAATTGATTTTGGTAAATCATGCACTGTCTATGTTTAAACTGCATGTTAATTTTTACTGACTCTTTAGTGTGTGGTACCTTGGCATCAGTATCAGGTAAAAAAGCCATGGATTTTTTCTTAAAGTAGTCTCTTTCTTGGTGTAGAAAAAAATTACAACTAGAGTGTGTGGTAGCTTTGATTTGTTTTATTTTTATGTTTTGCCTTTATAAAAAAATGAAATGTTTTGTGTTAAGCTCATGGTTAATGAACCAGAAAGTTAAGTTCAAACCCTATGTGGATGAGGCTCTATAGATGGGGATATCAACTCTTCTAGGAGAGAACTCCAAAATCAATCTAATTTTTCCAACACTAGAATTAAGAGCAAAGAAGAAGAGGAAATGTTTTGTTATTTTGCAATTCACTTAAAAAGAAAATTGATATAGTTTGCAATCTATCAATGTTAGTCTTAAACTCAATTTTAATCTCTGATAGTTTTGTTTGACTCTGTATGTAGGTTAATACATAAGGATGATTTTAATTAGATAATTCCTTTTGTCTTGATACATAAGCATGATTAAAATGCATCCCAGCTTCATTCCTAATTAATGTGTTTCTAATAGAGAATTTTTAAGGAGCTATTTACAGAGATGTAACTTTTCCTATTACAAAGTAACAAAAATTTCCCTATGAATATGAATACAAATTTTCACCTTAAAGTTTGATGAGTAGGCCTACATTTTTTAGAAACTTAATTATTTTTTTAAAATGTTTTCCTTCCTGAAAAAAAATCTCTGAACCGTTAACAGAAATATGGCTATGTATACATTTCTCAGGTCTAGGAAACGGAAATTTCCATTTTTTAAAAGGTATCAGCTATATCTCTGCATTTAAAAAGTAATCCTTGTTAGATAGGTTTACAATCCTTGCCTTGTGAGTTTCCCCAAGTTAAAAAAACCAATCTTACTGTGTGTGCATATTGGTTGGTCTTGGTCATGATTCTATTATATAAAAGCTATTTACTGTGATAATGCGTTGTGTTGAGAACTTTATTTTATCAGTAAATTCACTTAATGCAATGAAAGTTTACACAGTAAATTTGTATTGAATGATTTGTTTTATTTTTATTTTCAGATGTATGGAAAAATTTTAGAAAAAAATAGCCTTTTTGAGAAGGAAACATTTAGAACTGTGTATATAGTTAGGAATAAATAATTGGTAGAAATTTTTAATATAAATGTTGAAGCAAAAGGTGACTTTTTATGAATTGTTTTAATTAGATAAAACTACAGCCGAGTTATGCAAGTAAAAATTATGTATGATAATTTTAAATAAATACATTTTGCAGTAGATTTTGATTTTCTTATTTTATAATGCGTAGCTACCGTGATTTGTTCCTTTACTTTGTTGCTAATAACTTTCAATTTAAGTCTATAAATAGTATTAATGAGTCCGCCCATATGACTAACTAAGACTTGTAGCGACATTTTCAATAGAACTGATACTGAAGTGATGTCTAGGAAGGTTAAACATATGGTGGATCCTATGCCTATTCAAATGAAATCTAGTGCTTCTAATGCAAATTTATACACTTCAAAGCAGATTATTTTACAGCCGAATTGGTTACTTCCACAAAATTTACTCAGTCTTAATAATAGGAAATAGGATACACTTTCTTTCAACATGGAATCTAATCTAAAGAACTATGGAAAGGACTTTTATTACTTTTTAAAACTATTAGTGGGGAAAAAAATGACAACAGATTTTGCCAGTATTTTGATTAAATAATTCGTTTCTTAGCAAATAAATTCAGTTAAATACAGTTAAATGGTTTCCAAAAATCTTGTTACAAAAGACATTACAGTAAAAGTAAAGAATTCTATTTAGACCTAGCAATCCATTAGGCAGATGAAGTAGAAGTCACGTTTCTTGACCTCTGCATATGAAGGGAAAGTGTGGACAGCACTTTGCCCAGCCACCTTTATTTTTCCTGACTTGAGTTAGGTACTCATCAGAGCTGGATGGACTCAGGGACATTATATTAACTTGAACCCGGATTCAAAGTCAAGACTTCGGGCTAGCAGCCTAGCGCTCTACTGCTTAGGCCATGCACAAAAGACATTACTGCATTTTAATTTAATGAAAGACAAAATGTATTTTAAAATGCACTATAGGCATTATTTTAACATTTATTATTTTCAAAACATTCTTATACAGTTTATTTTTACAGAACATCACAGTAACAATTCTTAATGGCAAAATTAGACAACATACAACAATTTGTATTAATATCATTTTCACACTGTATGCTTCAAGCATTTTAAAAACCAAAGCACTCCAGCTATTATAAGATACTATTGTATATTAGGATAGGACTACTTTTTTTTTCAGTGATGCAAATGAAATCACACTTTGGTGTATCACTGAACAAAACAATTATAATAAATTATTAATATTATTATTAAAGTGACAGGACATTGCTACAAACAAGTTTCTTTTTTATTTCTGTTCAAGCTCTACCAAAACACCATCACAATCTTTGGGATGAAGAAAAACAACTGGTTTTCCATGAGCTCCTATTTTGGGTTCCTCACTGAGCAAGCGTATTTTTTTAGCCTTGAGATCCTTCATGGCTTCAACAATGTTATCTACCTAGTTAGAATAAAACAGTTGCAAGTGTCAGAAATGTAAACAAACTAAATTCAGTGAAAATAACTGTATTATGTATAATACACATCACCCTGCATTTTCAATGTCTGGGTTCTTAATATGAGTATAGATAACAATTTAAAACAATACACATTTAAGTTTTAGCAACATGGATGTGTAAAAGTAAGCGAGCAACTGTCTAGAACATAAATAGCTGCCCTTTTACACATACTTCTATACACATATGATGCATTCCACCAGCTTTATTCTTGTCCAAGAAACTTTGTATTGGGCTTTTTTCACCAAGGGGATGCAACAGCTGAAATGTCAAGGATAATTATTTTATTATACTTTGAACATTGAAATAACATCAGCACTTTCTTGATGACTTACACATACAAAAGCTAGTAGTTACAAAAGATTATTCAAACCTACCTCTATTTTAGTGTCACCCAGTTCAACAAAAACTGTTGTCACCCCATGTTCAGGAAGTGCCTACCAAATTGTAAGATCAATACATTCACAATCTTCTCAACAACAACAAAATCATTACATTACAAAAGCAATTTTTTATTTTAAACAAAAGTAGAAAAATATTTTTTAAATAATGTTAAACACTTACAACACGTTTTAAAAATTATTAAATGCTTCGTAGTAACAACAAATATAAGACGTAACAAACCTGCTTGTCACTAACTTTCCCTCCCAGGACATCCCTATACAGGGCAGCGCTCTTGTCAAGATTTGGTGTTACTAAAGCAATGTGATTGATTTTTCCTAGCTGCCACAGCTAAAACAATATAAAAATATTCAAAAGTAGTTTAAAGGGGGCAAAAAAATGACTTTTAAAAAATGTTTATTTACATTTCCACATTTTAAGAAGCTTTGATAGATGCCAAGTACTTAGTATTTTTTTTATATTTACGTTTAAACATCATGAACAGTAATGCATGGAGATATGTTTTTCATAGTAATTCAAAGTGAATTGATTTCAGGTGGCAATTACAGAGAAGTAAACATACCTTGTCTTGTTTTAAATACAATGGACTTTGATGAAAGGTTCTGGCTGGTCCAAAATTCTGGAAAAGTATTTCACAAAAATATACTATTTTCACAAGTATATAAAAGAAAATAATTTAATGTATAATGCATTGTTATTTAAATGTGCTTGATAAAGTAATGCTCAATTATTAAAGCTGTAATTAGCTATTTCATGCCAATGAAGATGAGTAAGTTGCTCTATAATGTATACTTTAAAATAAATTAGTAAAAGATCTATTAAAATATAAAAAATCCTAAGAATATGTAACCAAAATAAAAGGTTAAAAGTTGATTCCTCAAACTTCAAAATCAATGAGAAGGTTCTTAGCAGGTTTTGCAAGTGAACTTGTCAAATTGACAATTATAAATGTTTTATTTATTAAAACTAATTGGCCCTAGGCCTAATTAATAATAACAATTAGCCTAATAATTAGGCCTATTAGTATGAACTATTAATATTTTTATAATTAATAAATTAATATTAATATATAATATTAATATAATTATTAATTAGGCCTAGGCCCTAATAATTATTAATTATAATTTTAAATTATAATAAATTATAATTATATTAATTAATATTCACATTGAGTGACATTGCCGAGGCCTAATAAAAAGGGTAATCTATCGTTTTGGGTACGTAAAATCGCCCATGGCTTCTAATGTATGAAAAAGTTACCTCATTGGCAAGGCTTTAATAGAAGTATATAGTATATTGTGATATATTTATGTCAATTATTGTAGATAAATGAATAATAAACCTAAACCAATGGTTAAATATATCAATATGGGTCAAAAATTAACTTTAAACAGCAGTGTTTGCGAGTAAGATTTGCTATATAAACAGCAGCCATTTGTAATATAGAGTGGCTTCCCCCTGAATCTCGCGCTCTAAGTTTAGAAAAATACTTAGACACGATGGCTGCTATAGTACACGAGCATGGTTGCATCTGTTGGAAACATCGCTAGTCTTCATTTATTACTGAAAAGTTTAAATTCAATTGTTTAAAAACAGGTGCATAAATGAAACAGGAAACAATTTTGTATTTTTCTAAATATAAATCCTCCTCAAAATGTGAAATAATTATTAAAATTTAAGGAGTCACCTGTTTTTCACATTACTAGTCACGGGCGATTTTAATGTACCCAAAACGATAAAACCATTTTAAAATTATAAAAAATAATAAAATAAAAAGTAAAACTACATTACTTTTTTAATCTTTAAGAGGGCAAGGAATCGTGAGAATTGTCGATTCATTTTTCTGTTTAACTCGTCTAAACATAAAAATAGCGTATGTTTATTTAATTAGCATTAATTAATAATAATTAGATCTAGATCTAGAATTTAGATGAAAACTAGCAGTCTACGTAATTTTACACTGAATGTCAAATGTCAACAACCAAGGGAGGTCATCCCCGAATCAGAATCTTTTAAAAAATATATCTAGGCCTAATTATTTTCTACGCTTTAATAATTATAATATAGAGCCTACTACAAATTATTATATTAGGCTAACTTAGAGTAAATTATAATATTTATCGCTAATAGATTTAACTAGATAGAATAATTATTAATATTTTAATATAATCACTAGGTCTAATCACTCATTCGTTGTTCATTGCTTATTTCATGTCTACTTAGTCGCGTACTTTTTAATGTAACAGACTTACTTTGTCATATCTTTTTACACAGAAGATTGTAACCCCGGCTTTAAAGGTTCTGTTCATACGGATTTTAAAGTTGAAACAAAGAATGAAAATTCAACAACTTTTACTTTATTTTTAAGCTAATTTTGATTATTTGAAGAAAAAGACTACCATGTTCGCCGTTAAATCACTAAGTGTTCTACTAGTTGTGTTTTTATTGACTTTGTTTGGAACAGTAATTTTTCTTAAAGGTTTTTTGCTTTCAAGAACTGCAGTTGAAACAAAAAGTTTGTGTGAGGTCGATTTTGCTCTCAGAGCTGAAGATCATTCTCATCATGGAAGTGAAGGATGTTGGATGCACGGACGGTTCAAAAGAGCAATTATAATCATCATTGATGCATTAAAATATGATTTTGTTCTTTTTAATTCATCTCTTCATTCCAATAACACCCCTCCATTTAAAAACAAGCTGTCTATCATACAGCAGCTAATTAGCAAAAAGCCGTTACATACCAGATTGTACAAATTCATGGCAGATCCCCCAACAACAACAATGCAAAGACTGAAGGGTTTGACCACTGGAAGTTTGCCAACTTTTGTTGATGCTGGATCTAACTTTCAGAGTTCAGAAATAACAGAAGACAGCTTCATCCATCAGTTAGTAAAGCAAGAGAAGAAAATTAAATTTTTTGGGGATGACACATGGCTAAGCTTATTTCCAAAGCAGTTCTACAAATCTTTTGAATTTCCTTCATTTAATATCAAAGATTTGCATACTGTTGATGATGGAATATTGAAAAACATCTACTCTGAACTGCGTAGATCAGACTGGGATATCACTATTGCTCACTTTCTCGGTGTTGATCATTGTGGTCATAGATATGGACCTAATCATCCAGAAATGGGAGAGAAGTTGACACAGATGGATGAAGTATTGAGGTAATATTAGCAAAACTGGTTATTTAGCTCATTACTAGATAGTGTAAAGTTAGCTGTATGAAAACTATTGTGACCCTGCATTGCTAAATTTGTGTTTCCTGTTGAATTTCAGAAATATTACACAGTTAATGAAAGACGACACCATACTTTTTGTTATGGGTGATCATGGCATGACAAAAACTGGAGACCATGGTGGAGACAGTCCTGATGAATTAGAAGCTGCTCTTTTTATTTACAGCCCTGCTCAAATTGCATCAACAAAACAACAAGTAGTTTATTTTTATTATTATTATTGGTAACATTTTGTAGTCTTCTACTTTCATTTTCACAGCAGTATATGCTCTCATGAGTGCTTAGAAGTATACATTATCAACATTGCGATAACTGTGTTTCTTTTCAGATGGATGCTCATGTAGTTATGCAGGTGGACTTTGTTCCAACATTCTCCCTGTTACTTGGCATACCCATACCCTTTTCAAATATAGGTATGGTTGTCCCAGAGTTATTTACTCACTGCCCTTGGTGGGACACTGCATCGAATGAAATTAGACGAGTTTATCATAAAATAAAGGTATTTGATGGATTAAAATGTGCATGGTTTAACTAGTTATGTTTTAAGTGTAACTTTTTAAAGTGCAGATGGTTTGAGTTAACCTTACAATATAGACTTATACAGTATCATTAAATTCAATTTAAAAAATTGTAGTAGATTAATGTTCATCTGTATATACCTAAAATAAATGCTATCACTAACAGTATCTTTTTATGTCATCTTTTTCTGCTGTACAGGCACTTCGATTGAATGCTCAGCAAATCAACATGTACCTGAAAGCATACCAACAAGCAGCCTCAGACCTGCCAGCCAGTAAGCTTAAAGATCTACAAAGAGATATAACCCAAGCAGAAAATCAAGTGCAGACTCTGATAACTGGGATGATTGCTGATGGGGCAACAAATCAGGCCTTGAAAAAGTTTGAAGAGCTCGAGAAAGTTTACACATCCTACATCAGAGGGGCTAGGGAGATGTGTGAGAGTGTGTGGGCTAAGTTTGACATCAAACTCATCATCACAGGCATTCTGACAATGGTGCTGGGCATATCGCTAGCCTCGTACTTTTTATTACAATGGAACAACGACGACATGAACCTACCAACGCCTGGAAAATTCTTAGTGGGAGGATCTATATTGCATCTGATATATCTTTCAGTACATTTATCATTTTTCTCAAATGCGGTACCTCCTCTCATGGCATTTACATTATCAGTTGTGCTCATATTTGCAACAGTGGTCATCTTGAAAAATTCAGTCACTAATAAATGGGAAAAGTTCTGCAACTTCTGTACTCTTGAAAATGCTGTGTCAATGTGCTTACTAGCTGTTTCATGTAGTTTATTTTTTTCAAACAGCTTTGTTGTATATGAGGATGGAATCTCACTTTTTTTAAATCAGTCTCTAGTGTTTGTCTTCTGTGTAAAAATAATTCTCACAAACTGTGCGTCAGGGAGGAAAGAAAAACACAAAAATGACTTAACAAGACATTCTAAAAAGACCAAGTCAAGTGTAGACATAATGTTTGTTGTTACCCAACCTTCGGCTATCACCATTTTCATTACGTTAGCTTGTGCTACGATGTTGAAAATATCAACTACATTCTTCACATGCCGAGAGGAACAGCATTTGTGTGAAGATTCAATATTCAACCTGGGTTTAGACTCAGTGGATGGCTCGGCGAAAAATCAGCGTTACATTTTCAGTGTTGTTTGCCTAGCTGTTATGGTGTATGCATCGAGATACTGGTTAAAATATTATGGGAACATGAATGGCTCAAGCCCGGGTGTTCTTTGCTTGAAGTACGGCCCACCCTTAGCCACTCTGTTTACCAGTTTTCATTGGGCGCTACAAGGCTTGCCTCAGCTTGTGACTCATTCCTTCAGTGAGTGGCAGCAAGTTTTGATGGCGCAGGCTGTCTATCTTGTTGTGGCACTTCTGCTTGTTACGCTGATGTTTTCACCCCTTCTTGTGTATGCACTTCCAACCTCACCAAACTCAGGACTCCAGCTTCCATATCAAGGTAAATAAATTATTGTTTTTTCACTGTTAATGTGTATATTGTTTTTATTTATATGTTCATGACTGGTTTGTTAGCAAAATTAACTACCACAGAGTTAGAAGACTTAAACATACTAAGCATTTTTACCTAATACATCAGAAATGAGATTTTTAAGCAAAGCAAAAAGTTACACCACTGTATCTGATGATTGTTAAAAGAAATTACTACTAACAAATAGAAGATGCTATTATAGTTAATAAGTTATTCTATAGCTTTTGATTTTGTATTATATATCACTTCGTATTTTTTGTTCTAATTTAGATAGTATGTTACAGCAGGTATCTAACATATTATTCTGACCTTTATACAATTTTCTTGTTACAGAGACAAAAAACTCTACATTGTACAATTTCCTTTTTAAAGCTATATCAAACAGATAATTCAAACATTGTACAATTTTCTTTTTACAGCTGATATTAAACAGATAATTCCAACATTGTACAATCAGCTCAAACTTCGCATGAATCACTCCCTTGACAGTGGAGAACAGGAGAAGCCTCCAGTGGTGTATGGGCTGGGTTCAGTTTACTCTGCCAGTATTGTGGCTTTACTGTGCAGTGTCAGTCTGCTACTGTGTCTCATGTTGAATGATGGGATGGCTCCCAGTTTGTTGATTGCAACTTTCACCCTTTATTTGTGCCTGGAGCTGTACTCTTCTGCCATTTCTTCTAAATGCTCAATAAAAGGTAGGTTTTTATAATGTAAATTTAAGGAAATTGTAGGTTATTTAAAATGAAATATTGTAAAAAAAATTATTTTATTTAAAAATATCACCATCATTTTGAAAATTCAGATGTAGTAATTGAATTGTAAACTTGTAATTTGAAATGAAATATCTTGTTATGGCACTTCTGCTTGTTAGACTTATTTTTTTCACTCCTCCTCGTTTATGCACTTATTTACATATTTTTTTTTAGTTTAAACTTCTTACATGACTTAAATGTTTATCTTATATTTGTTACTTTTATTTTTAGTATGGATACAATTATTTTTCAGAATCCAATGGGTTACCTGACCTGTCTGGAATAATTTTGTTGAGTCAGCTATCTAGTTTTTTCTTCTATGCAACTGGTCATCAAGCTACCATACCCAGCATTAAGTTTGAAGCTGCCTTCACTGGATTTTATGGTGATTTCCAGACTGTCATCCTACCAGGTAAACTAAATGTCCAGCATTGCACTTTTTTATTTTAAAGGTTAAAATATATTAAGTAAGCATTTACACCTGTTGGTTCATAAATGAAATAAAGCTCACCAGCTGCTTAGCCCAAGGCACACAAATGAATTAAGTGTAGTGACTGTTTCCCAGCCACATTTTCTCGAAATCTTGTTAAGGACCTATTAAAGTGGTGGGCACAATGACATCATATGTACTTTTGTATGGGAGCTGAACCCAAGACTTACAGTTAGCAACCATGCTCTGGACTTCTTAACCACATTTTACATTTAAAAAAATTTAATTTAAAAAACATTTAACATTACTTCTGTAACCTTAAATGCTCATTAATTTTTTCTTTGAACCAAACAGGGTTTTTGGTCTGGCTGAACACATTTGCTGGGCCAATTTTCTTCAGCCTGGCCAGTCCACTTCTAGTCTTTTGGCCGAGGTTGTCCAGCGGCCTTGCTGGGTGGATGGTGAAAAAGTCACCAGATCAGCAAGCTGAAAGGGCGTCTTGGCAGGGAGACTTCACCTTGTTCAACAACAGCGTCCATCTCAAAAAAAGCATGTTCAGGTTGTGTTGCGGAATGATTCTCATTGCTTCATGTAGAGTAAGTAAACATTGCGCATTCCATGTTTTGTTAATTTTTTGTTTATTTATTCAGTTTTTTAATTTGTTTTAGAACTTAACAAATTTATTAAGTAAATAAAATTGGCATTTAATGTTAGTGAACAAAAAGTAAAAGAAATTTTATGTTAATGTACTAAGGATGCATTAATAAAAAAAAATTTCTACTTTTATTTGACAGTTGCTGTGTGCATCATTAGCTGCTGCCCTTCACAGACGACACTTAATGGTGTGGAAAATATTTGCCCCAAGGGTAGTGTACGAAGGTGGTTTATTTCTCACAGTGTCCGTATGCTCGCTGCTGGGTTTTCTGTTTGTTATGAGGATTGATGATGCCCTCTCCAAATTTGTGATCAAGATATCTTCCAAGAAATCAAACTAAATGCTGCTTTGCAGCATATTCATTAATGGCAGCACAATCGTGTGACACATAAATTTCCTTCTAACCGCTTACTCACAATGTTAGAGTTTTTAAGTATTTAACTATAGCATATTTTTTATACTGCTACAAAATAGTATTCTCGCTAGCAACTATTTAAACAAGACTAAGAGATTTTTTTTATTTATTGTGAATAATAACTATTCAAGTAATCTTTTTTTCTGTGAACTAGATTTTTTTTATCTTACAAGAATAATGAATTTTGACATGGGTATTATCTTTTTTTGAAGTAAACTCCTTTAATCATTATTTTTATAAACATTTTCATTTATAAGATGAATGATGTTATGTAAAAAAAAATTAAGTAATTTCATAACTTGTTTACTTTATTTATATGTGTACATGTTACTTTTATAAAGTGTCAAAAACTTGGTTTTTAATTGCTCAATGTATGGCAATTGCTGTCACAAAATAATGGATAGCCAATCTTACCAAATAGATACACATTGTGTTAGATAATTTTTTTGACATATCAATTTTATTCAAGCTAAATCCAGCATAAAAGCAATGCATTTGATTTTTCCAGTAATTATTTTTATGTACCTATATTCTAGTCCTTTGTATTTTCCAGTTAGTATTTTTAAAATTTCTGTTGTATATATGCTTAAAATGATTGCCAAGTATAGATACTGTTTAATTGTTATGTTCAAGTTTCAGGTGGTTGTCACTAAGTCCCTTGCAACAAATTTCCTGATGACAATCTGACCTGAGACTTGAATGTGTAAGAATGTAAATCACAGGGTGTCTAAAAACAAGTTGTGTCACTTAAAATAATTTTATGTTGAAACCTGTCAGTCGAACTGTCTTGTTATTTTAAAATATTAATAATGAATAACAGATGGCTGACATAAAGTGTGTTTTTATAATGAACTGTAGCTTTCAGGTTCTAAAATTAGCAGGGTTTGATAGTAGATTTATTATTTTCTATCTGATACTTTTGAAAAGTAGTTTATCAGAATGTTTTGTTATCCTCATTACTGTAAGAATCTCATTCATAAAACCTGTGCATTTCGTTCATTTCATTATGTGGTATAGTAACCTTCAACATATAAAATCTTATAAATAGGGCAGTTCAGATTATACATTAAATGACTCATGTTTTATTTCAATCAAAATGTTCAGGTTTTCAATCAATAGATTTTGTTTTTAGTGTAAAATTTAGAATGTTTCCTTTTAGTAAACAAATGGTTCTATCTATAAGTTGGTTTTAATTACTTATAGATATTTTTTTAATAAAAGCACTAATTATAATAAAGTTGTGAATGAACTCACTTCATCTTTTCCCATTTTTGCCCAAGACACATTGGGCAGATGAAGTAGAGTTCATCTTTTTCAGTGACCTCGGCATATGATGGTATAGTGTGGTCAGCACTATGCACAGCCACTTTCTATTTTCCCCAATGTGAGTTAGATACCCGTCAAAGCTGGGTGAACTTAGTGACGTTCTACTGACTTGAACTCGGGTTCGAACTCAAGAATTAATTTTAACAATTAAAACCTACAAGACATTGTTGATTCTTATTTTGTATTGAAATGTACATTGTGCATAGAGTGTTAAAATATGGGCCTATTAGTGAAACACTTATCAAATCATCAGATAAATTCAAACTTGTTAACTTTGTTGATTTACCTGCATTTACAATATGTAAAAAAATAACTTCCTGCTGTATGTATTGTTGCAAACTGTTATGAGGCAATGATGTAACAAAACAATTTTTTAAAGTGTACTTAGTTAATTATGTTTTAAAAGAGAATATATGCATTGATTTGTTTTATTGTTTATAAGCTATTACCACCAAATGACTGTTTGTATTGAAAACCCCGGGCTTGTCACTGACAAGTATCCTCCACTGCCATCTGACAAAAACACTGCTGTCTTCTCGCTGCCCCTAGATCATTTTAATACAAAATAGAGCAAAGGATAATGTAAGATAATTGTTTTTCAAATATTTTGAAAAAATTTCTTGATATTGTTTAGGACCAAAAGGACATAACTGCAAATTTTAAAAAAAAATTATTTAACAAATCTAATAATTTTTGCATATATTTAAATTTTACTCACTTATTGTGGATGATGGTGGCATAAGAGTTATCAGGCCTGCGGAATGCTGTAACCTCGATCAGCGTGTCATTTACCTCTGCTTCGGTGCCCAAAGACACGGATCCAGGAACTACAAATTTACTGCATGATGAAATAAGACAATCTTTACTTTGATGAAAAAAGTAGCACTTGTATATTCTGATTACAATCAATTATCAGTTTTTGAATCAAAGCCTCCAACTCACAAATGGGTCCAAATGCAAATGTGAGTTTAAATTTTATCCTTGATCATGACAGGACTGCATACAGCTAGACCTTCTATCACCAATTTAAAAATTAAACGGCCACCTACCTAAAATGTCCCATGACGTAAAACATAGGCTGTTTGTAGAATAGGCCATCTTTTGCATTGACGATGACAGGACTGTCGACAAAGTTGGACACCCAGTTTGGTCCACCCTGTTGGTTGAGTGCCAGGTTCCAATCAGTCCAGCCAGTCACCCAGTGGTTCAGATCCTAATAGAGTTTACAGAGAGATTGCAGCTAAAATCTGAGTTTACAGAATTCACAATATATCTAACTGCCAATCAAAATTTTTTCCCTTAAATGATTCAGGTGCTAGTAGAGTCTACAGTTTTCTTCAACCAAAACATTAGTGTAATTATAAGTCCGAGTTTAGTTTACCGACACATTACAGTGTAGATCTAATGTCCTATTTGTTCAGGACCTAGTAGAGTTTACACATATTTCTGTACCTAAAACTGTAAATCTAATGGCCCATCTAATCATTTCATCCAGCCCTGGGTGGGATTATTTAACCCATACTGTCAGGAACTACTTTTTTCTTACTCTATTCCCTCAGTCATGCAGATTATTTTATCAATTCCTTCTTGCCTAGCAATTTTTATTGCCCTAGTACAAAAATCACTTTTGTGTTTTGTAAACTGAACACCTTTTAATAGAATTTTATGTGACCGCCCTGAGTGGAATGTAAAGTAATATAAAATGTGAATTGTACGCAACAAAGCATGTGAAATTATGTGCTCTGATTTTTTTAAGTGGTAATGAATAAATCTACATCAAAAGTTTTAATCCTGTATTTTTATTATTGTTAATGTTCGGAAAGTAATAACAAAGTGTTAATAAACATTATACATAGCAAAGCTACCTATGATTTAGTACCCTTGTGGTTTTGTTTTTACTGCTGATGATTACAGGTAATGCCAAAACTAGTATAATCAGCATGACATGTTTTTATACATTAGCATTGCTACATGTACATATTGTATTTGTGAGGAAAGCTTTTTTTTAATTCTATAATTTTGTATTTGTCTTTAAACAAGATTACTGATATGATATTAAAATATGCAATTGAAATGTAAAATTCAAAATCTGATTAAATGTTAGTACAATTATTCTCTAATTCGTTATGTCTTAAGGTTATATTATATTAAATAATGTATTATATTTTGTTATCATAGAATTGTAACACCGTTGTAAAGTAAAAAATGCCATGGGGCAAGTGAAGTAGAGTTCACCTGTTTCTTTGACCTCAGCATATGAAGGGATAGTGTGGTCAACACTATGCCCAGTCGCCTTTACTTTTCCTAACATAAGTTAGGTAACCATCAGAGGTGGTTGGACTCAGGGACATTTTACCACTAAGTATGTTTAGTACTTGAACCATAAATTCTGTTAAGCAAGTCTTACAGAAATGATATCAGATGCATAACTGGCTGCCCTATCCCATGATCCCAGGTCCACTTTTTCCTTCTCCCAGGAGAAAGAACCCTCGCAAGCCTCTGTGGCAAAGAGAAATTTGTCTGGGAACAGTTGATGTATCCTGTCTAGGATGTTGATGCTGGCAGTGTCCTTGTACCAGTGGAGTGCAATACCAGAAACATAGGGGCTCGCCTCTTTATCGGACAATACCTGTGTTGGTGCATAACAAGAAATAAGTGTAGAAACATGTAATTGAATATCAAATATTACCTTGCAACAACAGTTACCAATAAAATTTAATGCACCTCCCTTTTAAAAATAAAAAAAAATAATAACATTGTTGCCTCCCTTTAAAAAAAAACCTTGTGTTGCCTACCTTTTTAAAACAAATACCTTGTCTCCTCTCTAGAAAGTTTTATTTTAATGTATTTATTTATTTTGGATCATCTCCTACCCCTTCACATCACATAAACTATATTTTATTTTAAATAAATATTTGTATGTATAACCATAACCCTTATTGAAGGATCAAACCATCTGGATCGAACAATTTCTGCTAATGATAATGATGTTAAACAGTTGGGGATTAAAGTATTTTTTAGGCTAGTCCTATTATAAACATCTTGGTATGGCTAGTCCATGATTTCTCATCTTTATTTTTAATTTTTTTTAAATTTCAAATCTGAATAACTATTTAAGCCAAACTACAACCACAACATAGATATGGATTAATATCTAAAATTATGCAGGTTTGCTATCTAATATTCTCAAAACAATTTAACATTTTAATTCATTTATGAATCAATGTTTTAAAAAGTTGCCCCCACTTCGTTTAAAAACCAAGGCCGATAACTAAGTTCATTCTACTCACAGTTCTCGCCCATAACTCAGCAAAAGGCCTCTGGTCATCCAAGATCATGAGCTTGACATTGCCATAACCAGCTTGGTGTAGTGCTGGACCAAGGTCCTGTTTAATGAAGTCCATCTGGGTCTCAGGTGTAAAGCCCATACACTGGAATGGGAAGCCCACGACGAAGCCATTTGTGGGCTCGTTTTCTGCTGTAAGCCCCCAGAAACTGATGTTGTGTTTGGAATACTCGTCTAAAAACCTTTTTTTTTTTAAAAAAAAAAAAAAAGCATTGCTTGTACAAAATTAACGGTAAAGATCAAAGATAACATGATATAAATAATGCAATTAGAGTAAAAGTAATTTGAAACTAGAAAACATTGCTGGTGCAAAATTAACGATAACGATCATAGATAATTTGACTTGGTATAAAATAATGAAATTAGATTAAAATTAATATGAAATACTCTACGGCAATATACTGGCTTTATTTGCATAGAGTTTCTCTTCTTCTTCGCTCTTAATTGTATTATTTTGGAGGGTTTCTCCAACAATTAAGTAGTACGTGTCCACATGATATGTATATTATGGCCGATTAACTCCAACTTCAGCCTGCTTTTTGTTTCTGGGTTTGCTTCCATAGTCTTTGTCAATCCAAGAACAAAATTACAAGGCAGCAGTTTTTGATTTTGGAGTTTCCTTTCCTAGATGGGTTGCTGTCCCCAGCTAACGAGCCACGTCGGCTTCCGGGGGGGGGGGGGGGGGAGGGGGGGGGGAGGAGGAGGGGGGAGGTGAACTGGACTGGACAAAATTTATATCCAGGTCTATAAAACTTACTTGACAAAGTAATTCCCCCAGGCTTTGTAATATTCACCCCCAGGGAATCCTTTGAGAAATCCCATCCCTGTCATCTTGTTGTTGGTTTTCATCCAGGCTGGGGCGCTCCAAGGGCTTCCAAAAAGTTTCAATGGGCGCGTGCTAACTTTCATGGCGGCTTGTATATAAGGAATCTATTTGGATGAAACAGGTTTGTTTGTTTGTTTGGGTTTTATTTACACGACAGCTTGAATAAAGGGATCTTTTTTTTTAGAAAATCATAATTATGTGGGAGATGAAAATTCATATACTTTATCTACATAGATACTTCTCCATACCCTCCCTCCCATCCTCTCTGCAATTTTTTGTTCTTGTACAAACGGCAGTGGAACATAAACTATTTACGACAATCCTTTTGTACTTTTCTTGTCCTTTGCTATATTTTCCAGTTCTCTCCAACTCTTTCCAATAATTTTCAGGTGTTTTTCAAATTCTCTGAGCCAGAAATTTCTGTCTCTATTTTTTTCTCTTGATCCTTCTATTTTCCATGAAATGCATTTTAAGCAGAGGCGTAGCGAAGGGAGGGGGGGGAGGGGGGGTACATATGTCCCCTTGCTAATATAATTCAATAAACGTACACCTGCATCTAGATTACCCACACTAGTTTAATACACATGACATTATTGATATTGCTAGGTTGTTTAAAAAATAAGGTCAATGGCTGTAAAATAATGTGTTATTAATGGAACTATGGTGTAGAGTAACAAGAGAACAAGGAAAAGATTGTTGTGTACGGTAATGCCCTAGATAGGGTAAACATTCCAAAATACAATTGCTAAGAAGTATAAGCATAGTGTAAAATCATGAACTCAGAACGAAAATATTGATAATGTTCGAAGAAAAATAAAACCAACTCACTTTATAGTTCAAATCTTCAGGTGCCAGTGAGAAATGGTCAAGGCTGAGGTCTCCGGGAACATCGTCATAAGAGTAGGCGTGGGTGGAGAAATCACAACTGGCCATTGGCACCCTGCCAACTGTGTACTCAATGCCTGGAGGAGGGGTTTAGGGTCCATTTCAGAGTTTCTTTCAGGCATCTCTTCTACCGCCCCCCCCCCCCCCCCCGAACGAGATGGAATTTATATAGTAAACATATACTTTTACTAGTGTCCGCCCCCCCCCCCCCGAAAAAAAAAGTCTGGAAGAAACACTGGTCCATTTTAGCATGGGCTCTTTTAACTAGGTTGTGTGCTTTGATAAGTCGGTTTTGGGTTGGTGATAATAATGGTAAGGGGGGGGGGGGATTGGTTAACAACAAATGCCTGAAAGGCACTAGCACGAACGCAGTTTGCTCAAAAGTTTATCCGAAAATAAATATATGTTAATCAAGTCGAAGTTCTAAATAAAATAGCATTTTGTATTTTGAGAATCAAATATAACTTCTAAATTAAATCGTAATTTATATTTTTCATAATCAAGTAGAAGTTCTAAATGCAATACTTCTAAATGAAATATCTATATATATAATTCTCTTCTTCGAGCCGTTAGAAAACAAGCTGCAAACGCTCTCCCTACCTCCCCACCCCTACATGGTTTTAGTGAGCTGTGTTCACTATAAATGTTTACAAGCAGAGCCAACGATTTTAAACGTAGGAGGGGGGGGGAGGGAAGGAAGGGGGGGGGGGGGGTTATGGTCCTTAACGAGCTACTTATAGTGTTTTAAAGAAATATTTTCAGTGTCAGCGTTGGTACTGTCGAATTCACAAATTATGAATTATTGAAAATTAGAAACAACTAAATAGCGGCGTATGTTATGCCGCGGGCCGGCTCGTCTTTTTATATTTTGGTAATCAAATATAACTTCTAAATGAAATATTTTTTTTATATTTTGATTCTCAACACGTCTAAGCACATAATAGTCAAAGTAAACAAAGGTTTATAGTTAGTTTAGGTCTAGGAATGGCGGTTGGTACACCTGGGTCTCTCTCGGATAGGTCATTACCGGCTCATTAGCCATGCAGACTGGCAAATAATGAAGTCTCGTGAATCTTTGTCTCCCATGTTACAAACCATTAAAAACATGGTTTTTGCAAATCAGTGATCGGGGTTGGGTGTGAACGGCTCGGTTTGGTGTCGTAAGGGTCTCGTGTTCGGATACCAAACTTGTTACTTTCAGGTTAGCTAACGCGTGCGTTTAACGCGCTCCTATAGTGATACATCTACAACGCACGATCATTATACCTGCCGTTTACATCATCTTTTCCCTCTTGTGCCCATGACACATGAAGCAGATGAAGTAGGGCTTATCTGTTTCAATCACCTCGACATACGGAGGGATAGTGTAGTCAGCACTTTGCCTAACCGCCTTGGTTTTCCCTAACCTGAATCAGGTCTACACTAGAGCTGGGTCGACTCAGAGACGCCCTATAGACTCGAGCCCGGAAACCCAACTCCAGTTTCTGTCAGGCATCTCACGACTTGAGGGGGGGGGGGGGGTACTGCGCCCCACGAAGCTCTTTCACCTCCAGCTGAACAAAATATAATAAATATAATTTTACCAGTTTCTGACCATCCCACCCCCGGAAATTTAAGTCCGCCCCCCCCCCCCCCTCTTGAAAATTTCATAAAAAAGATGTATGAAAGAAACCCTGGCATCAAACCGTGCCCTACACCATTACCTTCTTTAGAGTAGTACGAGTTGATCAGATTGTCTTGAGCTGGCTGGGGTAAACTGGCGATGTTTATACCCGCGGCGTCGGTGAAGGCCCCACCAAACCCTATGATGGTCTGCCGTGTGTCAGCGGTCCTCAGCTTGTAGACTGAAGTACAAAACCAGTTAGGGTTAGGTCATTTATTTTAATTAATGTCTTGTTGTATCAAGAACAGTATGTGACGTGTAGACTGAAGTACAAAACCAGTCAGGGTTAGGTAATTTATTAGACATATAAAAAGAAATGAAACAAATTTTACATAAATTGTATCTAGTGAACATATAGTTTGTAAAATAATAAGCAACGGCCTGCGTATTTATTTTATAATTGGTAAAAGTATTTGTATTTTATAGAGATTTTTGAGAACTAAGGTTTTATCCCTTAAACATTTAAAATACTAAAATGGGAAGTAAATAGCAAAAATTAACATTAACAGAAAGTAATGCATAAGTAGGCAAATGCTTTTGTCATAACTAAAGGTCATTGTGACAATATAAGTAGGTCTAAACCGCGTCAAATTTTTTTTGAAACATTTGATAGGATCGTGTGGTCAAATTATGCCTAACCAACTTCTCTTTCCTAGTAGAGACAACCTACCATCGATGTTTTCCAATCATATTGTCATCCTGCATCGGGGGGGGGGGGGGGGGGGGGGAAATTAAGCTGAGAAAATGCAGTCGTCACTAGCTCATCGAGCATCGATATTTTTTAATCTTGTTATCTCCCCTTTTAGTTTTTTTTTTTAATTTAGTAAATAGCTTATTATTATACAGGTTTTTTAAGCTTTGTTTCAGGGGCTTGAAAACAACGGCACGCTTCTAAATGTAAAGCAATGTAAACAATTAAATATTATGGAAACGAGTATCCGGGAATTACCTTTTAAATTCTATCTCATGTCTCAGCATTAATCAGTTCATTTTGTAGAATTTTTATTTCTTTTTTATTTAATTATTTTTTTAAATTGTAGAACGAGAGCACGGTAATAACTATTGCCGTTAAAGTGATGTAAATGTAAACAGCTTAAATATGTACTGAATCTTTCTTTACTTAGCTAATAGTTTTCTTTTTGGACTACAGTTGGGTAAAAAGCCTCATATTTATAAAACATATAAATGAAACAAATTTTACATAACTTTTATCTAATAAACATATATTTTGTAAAATAATAAGCATAAACTTGCGTATTTATTGTGTGATTGTTAAAAGTATTTGTATTTCATTGAGATTTTGTTTAGAACTTTTAGGTTTTATCCCTTGAACATTTAAAATACTAAAATGGGAAGTAACTAGCAGAAATTAACATTAAAAGAAAGTCATGCATCAAGAGTGTGATACGTGTAACCTTATTAAACAATGATGTAATACAGTATATTTGTCCCCCACCCCACCCCCCCGCTCCACTGGAACACATCGGTCCACCTCCCAGTCTTAGAGAAAACATGCACTAACCCTTTATCCAGTGCCTCCCCCCCCCCCCCCCAACCCGATCCGGAGAAAAATATCTGAAAGAAACCCTAGGTGCGGGCGTATTTATGACAAAAAATTATATATACTGGGGAGTTATATATCTGAAAATAATTCCTCGCCTATGCAACAATACATTAAAACGATCTATAACAATACATTAAAATGATCAATGCAACAATACATTAACATGATCTATGCAACAATAGGTCCACATTAACACGATCTATGCAACAATACATTAAAACGAATTACGCAACAATAGACCTACATTAAAACGATCTATTCATCAACAATACATTAAAACGATCAATGCAACAATACATTAAAACGATCAATGCAACAATACATTAAAACGAATTACGCAACAATAGACCTACATTAAAACGATCTATTCATCAACAATACATTAAAACGATCAATGCAACAATACATTAAAACGATCTATTCAACAAAACATTAACACGATCTATTCAACAATACATTAACACGATCTATGCAACAATACATTAAAACGATCAATGCAACAATACATTAAAACGATCAATGCAACAATACATTAAAACGATCTATTCAACAATACATTCAAACAATCTATTCAACAATACATTAACACGGTGTTTCTAAATTGATTTTAGCCGCAGGGTTGGGATATTGATTAACATAATAAACACAGAGAGCACGTACCTTTGTGTGAGCTGTTTGTTGGAACGCGTGAGTAGACCTGTTTATCAAATCGCTGCCCATCTTTGGACGTTGTGTACACAATGTACTGGCCTTTGGGTACGGGGTCGGCAGACGGCACTGTATCACAGTAGGTGCTGTTGCAGACACACACAATGTATCCTGCCTTCACGGTGTAGGGGGCACAGGGTACATCTACGTTTTGTGTTAATAAGTTAAGTTTTACTATAACTATAACACCTGGCGGTCAATGTAGTGGAGTAGTAGAGTGAATCTGTTTCTACGACCTCATCACACACAGAGGTAATGTGGTCAATATTATAGATCTATGTCCACTGGTCAGTATTATAGATCTATGTCCACTGGTCAGTATTATAGATCTATGTCCACTGGTCAGTATTATAGATCTATGTCCACTGATCAGTATTATAGATCTACGTCCACTGGTCAGTATTATAGATCTACGTCCACTGGTCAGTATTATAGATCTATGTCCACTGGTCAGTATTATAGATCTACGTCCACTGGTCAGTATTATAGATCTATGTCCACTGGTCAGTATTATAGATATATGTCCACTGGTCAGTATTATAGATCTATGTCCACTGGTCAGTATTATAGATCTATGTCCACTGGTCAGTTTTATAGATCTATGTCCACTGGTCAGTATTATAGATATATGTCCACTGGTCAGTATTATAGATCTATGTCCACTGGTCAGTATTATAGATCTATGTCCACTGGTCAGTTTTATAGATCTATGTCCACTGGTCAGTATTATAGATCTATGTCCACTGGTCAGTATTATAGATCTATGTCCACTGGTCAGTTTTATAGATCTATGTCCACTGGTCAGTATTATAGATCTATGTCCACTGGTCACTATTATAGATCTATGTCCACTGGTCAGTATTATAGATCTATGTCCACTGGTCAGTATTATAGATCTATGTCCACTGGTCACTATTATAGATATATGTCCACTGGTCGGTATTATAGATCTATGTCCACTGGTCACTTGTATAGATCTATGTCCACTGGTCACTTATATAGATCTATGTCCACTGGTCAGTATTATAGATCTATGTCCACTGGTCAGTATTATAGATCTATGTCTAGTGGTCGGTATTATAGATCTATGTCCACTGGTCGGTATTATAGATCTATGTCTAGTGGTCAGTATTATAGATCTATGTCCACTGGTCGGTATTATAGATCTATCTATAGATAAATTGCAAAATGTACCGAAGAAAATTACTTTTTGTCAGATCCATTAGTGATTAATTAAAGTTAAATACTGTTTTAAATACAAATCGACAATTATTACAAAGGGGGGGGGGGGGGGGGTGATACCATGACGTAAACGTGCTAACAATAAAGAAAACAATGCTACACCCAACTGTATTATTAACAGACTATAGTCTAGAAAAACAGCATTACTATTAAATCTACAGAGATTAAAGCTTATAAACATACATGTCCTCGTATGTGCCTTATATTTAAATTATAGGCCTTTGTAGGCCGACACGCACACACACACACACACACACATATATATATATATATATATATATATATATATATATATATATATATATATATATATATATATATATATATATATATATTCTTTGTTTCTTAAGGGGGTGACACCACGTAGTGCCCCACAGGGTTACACCCGACCTAGCGACGCCACTGAGTTAACTATAACACCTATTGGTCAATGTAGTAGAGTAGTAATCTGTTTCTACGACCTCATCACACACGACGGCAATGTGGTTAGTAATATAGATTTATGTCCAGGTGTCTTTATTTTCCCTCGAGTGAGGCAGACTCTTAGATGTGAGTCAAATTCAGAGTTTCTTCCAGGCATCTCTTCGGGGGGGGGGGGGGGTCTTCCCCCGCCCCCAGAAGAAAGTCTACCGCCCCCCGAACGAGATGGAATTTGCATGTGATGTAAGCCTATTTATTAAGCTAAATTTTTTTCTTAATACTTAACTGAAATAAAATAAAAAACAACTTAAAATACCTTGTGAAGAACGCGTCAAACTGATTACCAGTAAAGAAAACAACAGCAATATTTGTGAAGCCCGAGACATATTAGCGTCTACTCTCCCTAGTGTAACTAACATTTTGTTTATCATTTTTAAAAATACTGAACATCGGGTGGTTCATAAAAAAAAAAGTTTATCTGTTATCTGAAAGTTCAAAGATAACTAAGACGTTTGTCAATTGATGTTACATTGAAGACCAATATGTTGATGTGTAAGCTGTATAGGCCTACACGTTTGAACGTGTGTGTGTGTACGCTTATTCGGCTACACTAAGACTTATAGGCGCCTACTAAAATGTTTCTAGCAGTGTTTCTTCCAGACTTTTTTTCTCCGAGGGGGGGGGGGGGGGTACTTGAAATTTTCGGAAGGGGGGGGGGGGAAGGGGGTAGACTTTCTTCGGGGGGTGGGGGCGGACACTGTTAGAAGTATATATTTTCTACGTAAATTATATAAATCTCATTTCGATCGGGGGCGGTAGACTTTTTTCGGGGGGGTGGGGGGGGGGGGGAAGGCTCTGTTCCCCCCCCCCCCCCCCCCCGAAGAGATGCCTGGAAGAAACTCTGGTTTCTAGCATAATGCAGCATATTTATTTTGCGGGGGAAAAAAATGTCGCCGAAATCTGAACTATGTCAAGATGTTTAGAGTAGGACAGCGAATTTCAATAGGTTAATTTAAATCCGTTGCATCACAAGGTGGGGCGGGCGGTGCAGAATGCGCTGGGTGACACCACCCCAGGGGGTGACGGCGAAGCGAAATATAGCTAATTTTATTGTGAAAGTCTACGTTTTTTCTCAGTTATTTTAATAGCTTATTAAAGTTTATTATAAACATTAGACACGATTTGACACTACCCGAGATGGGAGCGACACGAAATTGTTTATGCGAGGAAAAAAAAAGGGGCGGGGCGGGGGGGGGGGGGGGGTGATATCGTGTTACCCGACCAAGTGACGCCACTGGGTTAACTATTTTCGTTCTAGATCTCCTTCTCACTTCGCCCCCCCCCCTCCACTCACTAACACTACTAAACAAAACCTGTTTAAGCAGGGGACTACTAATTTTAGTATAATAAGTAAATGTAATGGCTTGTTTAGATTAAACATAAATCTGACACTCATCATCGAATCTAGGGCGAACGATGGTGAGTATACACACATTCGACCACTATACCACACTGTCCCAATAATTTGTAAACTATATACATTACTTATCATTTTTTATTTATCATTTTTTTATAATCATAATCATCAGCATGGTTTTGAAATAAATAAATTATTAATCAAAATTTAAAAATTCAGACAGTGTCACAATTTCAAAAATATAACATTGTTAAATTATATTTTTAAATTTTAAAATAATTTATTGATCAAATTAAAAATTCAAACAGTTTCACAATTTACAAAATATGTAAACATTGCTCAAGTATGATTATAACAAAATCACCAAAATTTATACTCTCAGAACACAGAAGAAAAACATTGAGAATATTATTACATTTTATTATATCAGTCTTTCATACCTTATAATAAATATATTAAAATCATCTACAGGTCGTGCTTGATCTTTCATGACTCTCTTATGTAATTGGAGAGGCAGATATCCCAATCTTCCTTCTTATCAATCATCCAAAAGTCTTTCATACTTCCCTCTTGAGGTAAATATTTAGCAGCATCAGTTCATTGTTTTTTTTATTTATACATTGTAGTGGGGGAGAGGGTGGACTAGTTGGGTAGTGGGACATAATGCTTTGAATACTGAGCAAATGAAACATGTTGTTTTAATGGAATGTCTAGAACTGCGCATGGGTTAACATCTGACGGAGAATGAAAGTGAACGAACATGTAAAAAAATTGTGTAGGTTGTTCTCACCCAGAAGGGCAAAATGCTGTTGGTGTTTTTTTTAAATTGTGTTTGTAAAAATATAGACATGAGTGTTGCTGGGGCAAAGCTAACAATTAAAACAAATTAGTAATGTAAATAGAGTTCCTCTTTAGACTTAGAAATCCATTGTGCAGGAAAAGTACTTTTTTCTTGATCTTAGCATATGAAAGGACGGTGTGGTCAGCACTATGTCTAGCTGCATTTCCTTTCTACATGTACGTCAGGTACCCATCAGAGCTGGATGGACTCAAGGACTTCCTACAGCCACAAGTCCAAACGGAGATCTGATCTTGAGACCTTTGGGCACTAACATTAGACCACACCTTTCCACAAATTGGTAATGTCAACTTCACATTTTAGCATTGAACACAGTCACAGCACCCCAAAAACATGTAACACCCCCCCCCCCTCCCCTCACTAAATACAATGGAGCTTAAAGCCACCAAATGACAGTCTGAATGGAATGTCCTGGTACTGAGATGGGCATAAACCCTGAAATACCATCAGTCAGGTCCAAGTTTACAGCATCAAATCCCCTGCAAACACAAAGGAATTATTTTCTATGGCGATTTGATTTAAAATAAATAAATAATATGTATTTGATATAATGGGTCACATAAACTATTTAAAAATGATCTAAATAAATAAAAAATAAATAATTTAATTTATGTCAATTAACAATAATACAATGACTTACAAGTTTAACACCGTGACTGCCAATGATTTGTCTGGTCTAAGAAAGGATGTTATTTCTATCAGAGGATTTTCCTTCATTGGTTTAGTACCCAACCATACAGAGCCTGGTACAATATATTTGCTAGAAAAATATAGGCATAACATTTACTGTCAAAGTAGTTACATATATTTTTGTTCTTGTTATGTAAAATAATAAAATCCCTGTTTCATAAGACTAAATAAAAGATCAAGTATACTGGACCATAAAATACCAATTTGTAAACATAAGATAAAATTTTAGGTTTATAGATTCAAAACAAGAAATGTGTCAGAAAATTTCAAACAAAACTATACACTTGCAATAAGAGAGAGAGTTCATTAGCAAATCTGAGAATAAAATAACTGAATACCTACCTAAAATGTCCTAATATGTAAAACATCGGTTGCTTGTAAAATTCTTTCTTTGCTGAATTAACAATTATGGGACTGTCAACATTGTTGGCCACCCAGTTTGGTCCACCCTGCATGTCTAATGCAAGATTCCAGTCCGTCCATCCAGTGACCCAGTTATTTAAATCCTAAAATGGAGGACATTTTGATACAAAAGTCAACCACTTATTTAGAAATCAGAGGGGTGTGCACAATCATTATACACTATCTGCAGAGGCTGGCATCTCTCCCCCAAGCTACATATTATTAAACTAATCCCAACATGAACATCATTTTAAAATAAAAAAATTTAAACATATTTTAATTTAAAGTTAGCAGTAATTAGTGAAAAAAAATGTGCTCCTAAGATACTGAATAGTTTATTTCAATATTAATGGAAAAAGCGTTATTTTAAAAAAAATTATCAAATACATTAAAGGGGGTCCCCTTAAATACTTACTGAGATAATATCAGGAACATAGCTGGCAGCTAAAAATTAAGCTAAAACCCATTATTTTAAATACTTACTACTGAGATAATATCATGGGCATAGCTGGCAGCTCTGCCATAAGCTCCTTAAAAAACTAACCTCAACATAGGCATCATTTTAAATACTTACTGAGATAATATCATGGGCATAGCTGGCTGCCCTGTCCCATGCCCCAAGATCAACCTTCACCTGCCAGGGCATTGAACCCTCGCAGGCCTCAGTTGCAAACAAGAATTTGTCAGGAAAGAGATTGTGAGCATCTGTCAGGAGACTGTAAGGAAGGACAGCATCTAAATACCAGTGGGTGGCCACACCAGAAATGTATCTGCTTGCCTCAGGATCAGACAGGACCTATCAGAAGACAAGATAAGAATACCTCAACATTAATTTTAAAAATTTCAATTTATTTAATTTTTAAAATTTCTATATCTGATAGAAATAGCTAAAATCATCTTGTTCTTACTGTCAGTTATTGTGTTTAGAATTTTTATTAATGTAATTGTGTTGTGAGATAATAGATAAATTTAACAGCTGCTTTCACAAATGTCTAATAAAATAAGTCAGAGTAGTAAAAGAAATACAAACCCACATTTAAAAAAAAATCTATACACTAAACACATCTTAAACCAGCAGTTTCAAAATTGAGAGGCATCCATCTTTTGGTGGGATGCATTATAATGCTAGTAGAGACAGTAGTATGGGACGGAGTGGTCTAGCGGTAGAGAGCTGGACTGCTAACCCATAAGTCTCGAGTTCAAATCCGGGTTCAAGTCAGTAGACCATCAATGAGTCCACCCAACTCTGATGGGTACCTAACTCATGTTAGGGAAAGTAAAGGCATAGTGCTGACCACACTATCTCTTCATATGCTGAGGTCACAGAAACAAGTGAACTCTACTTCAATTGCCCCATAGATCGTCAGGTTTGAAAGGGAAACTTTAGAGACAGTATTGAACAACTTAAAAATATACAGATATAAGTAAATTGTTACAACACAATAGTTAAGTTTTTCTGTGGATATTCAATTGTGATTTCTTTGCTGATTTGGAGGGGTTGATTTCAATATTATTGTGACGAATTTGTTACAAAGTTACAAACTTTAAAAAAATTTCTATAACCAAAGATTGTGTACCAGATGTTGTTAAAGATGGTAATCTAGATGCATGTTTCATACAGGTCTAGATCGTAACCACCTCCTGTCAATTAACCCTCATTTTAGCAATTACCCCTGGTTCATTATTTACCCCATGTCAATTATCCCCTAAGTAATTACCATATCCCTATCATTAAACCTATCTCTACTCTAACCTACTGGGGAGGGGGTTATTGACCTAAGCTAATGTCTTACTGTCTACCATGGGTAAGAGAAAAAAAAGGCATTAAGAAATATTTTAGTTGGTAGCTCAATGTCTGAAACAAGTGTCACGCAATAGAAACAAGGTAGATTTTAAAATATAGAACCCTCTAAGTGCCACAAAGATTATTTTGAGAAAAAAAAAACATTTAGAAAAATGAAATTAACATGGATTACCAATGTGTAAATTACTTCCCCTTTTTAAAAATCAAAATAATCAAGGGAGAGAGTCAATAACTATGTCAATAATAATGTCCTTAAAATATTTTCATTTCAAATGGTAATTAAAAAAAATAATATTGAAAGTTTATTATTTTACCAAACATGGGTATTGAAAAGCATATATAACTTTTCATCTATTTTTAATACTTATAGATTTGAGGGTTATCATTTTGATTCTAGACAAAATAGGAAAACATTAGCGGTATTGAATACCTAATTTGAAGACTTGTGAAAGGCTTTTTAAAATGGTGTTCTACATTCACTACATCTGTGTTTCTCAAACTTAACTATAATTTAAAAAAAAATATAACTATAATTTTATCTCTTGCCATATTTTTAAAAGATTTTATTTAAAATTTAGTAACATTACATAACTTTTCATTATTATAGTCCCACTTTAAGCTAGGGCTGCAGTGAAACTATCAATGGAGTAAGCATTGTGACAAAAACTCTTGCTTTTTTAGGAAGCAGAAAGAGGTGAACATTTCTTAGAATATGCTATTTGATAAAAAGGTAATATACATTTTTTTTAAAATCTGCAGGTTACTGAGAAACTAGAAATACAGTTAAGGGGTCATCCATAAATGACGTCACACTTTTTTGGACGATTTTTACCTCCCCCACACATCATCACAAAAAGCCAGACCCCCCTAAAATGACGTCACACTTCAGCCTACAACCCCCCCCCCCCTCAAAATTGCAGTTGAATTTTTCTTAAAACATCGATGTTTTTCAAAAATCTTGTCTGAACTCTGTCAAAATAGAATATTTAAATCAATTCCTAATGCAATTTATTAAAACAGTTTTCTAAAATGCGAAATAACGTCTAAAATTCGTTTTCTAACATAGCTTTTTTATAATGTAAAAGTGTGACGTCACACCATCTGAACCCCCCCCCCCCTCCCCCTCATCACACATAGTCACAAAATTACAGACCCCCTCACCCCTACGAGTGTGACGTCATTTATGGACGACCCCTAAGTAACTTCTGGGAAATGAAACTATCTCAATAGTTGAAAAAATTGAGTGTCCTACACAGTTGGTAAATGGTACTGTTTAATTCAACTGTCAAACTGCAAAAGACGTAAGAGTACTATGACACCTACATTCATTTTAAAGAGCAGCCTACACTAAGGACACGGTGCAACCATTCAGTAGTGTAACCAGGGGCTCCTGGTCAGTCTCCAAAGGTTGTTCTACTTCACTATAACAGAGTGTGACTTATATAAACACAAGGCTTTCAATCAGCATGTCGTTGAGTTGCCGGGGTGGCAGTGTGGAAAAATCCCCGCGCCCCAACAACTAAGATTAAAAGAACTTACTGTGTAAGTGTAGTGAAAGTAGGATTTAGGTGAGGTGCTAATATTTTTTGGTTACTAAGGTGGAGGTGAAGTGACAAAAAGTTAGGAAACCGCTGCCTTACACTTTAAAAAGTGAATAAAATAGATATAATTATATTAAAATATATATAGATTAATAAGTTAAACAGGACTAGAATAGAACAAAAACTAACAAGTCAACCTACTATTTTGGCCCATGTGATGATGAAAATTCGAACATCATCTAAAATCATAAGACTAATATTGCCATAACCAGCAGAATGTAAAGCGGGGCCAAGGTCCATCTTAATGAAATCCCGCTGTTGTTCAGGCGTAAAGCCCATTGCTTGGAATGGGAATTTGAACTCCAATCCATCAGATGGTTCATTCTGGGCAGTGATCCCCCAAAATTGGATAGAATTCTTTTCATACTCTTGGAGAAACCTTTAATAGTACATTGAAATTATTCTTTTCAAGGTTAGTTTAGGAAAAGCTGAGGATTGAAGGTGGAATGTTTTCTTGTTAAAAATCTTTTAAAAAGTTAATACTGTACACACAAAAACATACTCTTTTCAATGCTTTAACACAAACATTAATTTTCCGCAAGTGAAGTAAAATTGATCAATACAATTTACGAGTACCAGTTATTCTACTTTTTAAAGAAGTAGCTGTCTTACTTGACAAAGTAATTAGCCCAGGCCTTGTAATAGGGGCCCCCAGGTTGTCCAATCAAACTCCCTTTGCCAGTCATGTTATTGTTTGTTTTCATCCAGGCTGGTGCACTCCAGGGGCTAGCAAACAGCTTTATAGGAACAGGCGCAGCTTTGATAGCTTTTTGAATGTACGGAATCTACAATTTGGGATTACAAAATTTAGTTATGGATTATAATTCTAAATTAATGTTTAATTTTACAACTTAATAATATATATATTTAATTGTTTAAAAAATTAAGCAAACTGAAATTAACAAATTTGTGTAAAAAAAAACATTTAATACGTTTTGAGAATTTATAAAACCTTATATTTAATGTCTTCTGGTGCCAAGGAAAACTTAGTTAAATTTAAATCCCCAGGAACATCATCGTATGAGTAAGGATGTGTTGAAAAATCACAACTGGCCATAGGCACTCTTCCAATTGTGTACTCAAGGCCTAAAAAACAACAGTGGTATTTTAAGTAAAGTTTAAAACATTTTTCAAATAAATTCCTCTTTCTTTACAGCAGATTTTTATACTTCAATTATGTTTAATATTATCAAGTTAAGTATTACAATTTGCAAAAGAGAATTATATATTTTAAAACTGTGGTCATGCATTTCAAAACCATAATATAACTGGTATAAAAAGGTTACCATTGTTGGAGTAATATGAGTTTATAAGTAGTTCCTGGGCTGCATCAGGCAAAGCTGCTATGTTTATTCCAGCAGCATCAGTAAATGCTCCTCCAAATCCAAGAATTGTTTGTCTGGTTACATTTAGCTTGATGGAATAAGTTACTGTAATAAAAAGAAATAAATAAGATAATTAAAAGAAAGCATTATGTTAGATTATGTGTTCTTTTGTAGACTTTTAGCATGATGACAGTTGGCTAAAAATCTTATGCAGACTATGAAGTGAAATCACCGAAGAATACAAATCCAACTCAAACATATAGATAACATATATAAGCAAAAAATTTAGGCCTACCATTTGTTTTTGGGACGCTACTACTCTGTAAAATCTGTTTCTGAAATCGAAGTCCACTTTGAGAAGTGGTTATGACTAGGAACTGTCCTTTCGGAACTTTTTCGGCTGATGGAGCAGTGTCACAATAGGTGCTGTTACAAACACATACCATATACTGTGGTCTAATGTATAGTGGAGCACAAGGAACATCTGGAGAAAATATTTATCAATTCATCATCACAATAAAATATAAATGTTTCATAACATATTGTACACACACATTATGTTAATGTTACCCTAGTATTCCAAATTATCAGATACTTGACTAATACTAATAGTCAAGTCTTATAATATTAAGTGGGATTAGGAGTTATCCATAAATGATGTCACACTTTTAAAAAGGATTTTTTACCTTCCCTGTCCTAAAAAAACCAGATCCACAATCCAACTTTAAAATGATATCATGTCTCCGTCCCAATATCCCACTCAAAATTATGACTTTTTGTTGTTTTTAAAACAATGATTTCTTTCTAAAATATTAACTGAGACCAGTATATTGATAGAATACATTTTATTGCACTTTATGAAAAAGTTGTTAAAAAATGCAAAATAATGGCAAAAATGCAAAACAATGGCTAAAATTCAATTTCTATCATTACTTTTTAAAGTGGAAAAATGAGTCATCACACTTCCTGAACCTCAAGCTCCCACACATCCACCTACCCCTTATTGCAAGTCAACTCATTTATGGACGAAACCTGAACAAAACTAAGATTATTCACTGTTGAAAATTATATTAAAAAAAACAAACAATCTATATATATAATTCTCTTCTTGGAGACAATAGAAAACACCAAGCTGTAAGTGCGCCTAGCAACCCCCACCCCAACACGGAGCAGCCCCCACCCCTACATGGTCTGGTGAGCTGTGGTTCACGCAAAATGTTTAAAATCGTAGAGCCGGGTTTAGTGACGACTATCAGGGGCAGATAATTTAGTTTGAAACGATTTTAAAATTAGAGGAGGTAACTAAGAGGAGGCTGCTTTCACGGGGGGGGGGGGGGGGTAAGGGGTTGGGGAAAGGAAGGCGGGTCCTTAACGAGCTACTGATAGTGTTTTAAAGCAAATATATTCAGTGGCAGCATTGGTACTGTCAAATTGACAAATTATGAGTTACTAAAAAGTAGAAAATTAAGAAAATAAAACAACTAGCCTAAGTAAATAGCGGCATGTGATACACTGTGGGTCGGCTCATAAACTATAAACTTCTAACGTCAACTACTAGATTCTAGTTCTAGATAATATTATCTACTAGATAATATCTAGATCTAGATTCTAGGAGTAGTACTAGTAATAGTAGTTAATAGTACTAGATACTAGATCTTAGTAGTCAGTGCAGTCCTGACCTAGATCTTCTTTCTTAAAAAATAATAGACCTAATAATATTAATTAAATATGAAATACTATTTTGCTTTTGTCAAGTGCCAGATCTAGATCTAGATCTAAATCTATTTTGAAACGGATGAGTTATAACCTGATTTGACGTATAATACGTTAAAACTGTAGATAGACAGGATTTTGAATAAAAACAAAACAATTTTCATTGAAGCTGCCATTTTGTATCATCATGTGACCAAGGAGATTAAATGAAAAAATAATTTCGCAAAATAAATCCTGATGTAAACAAAATGCTGTTTGTGTTTGTTGCTCTGCTTACAAGCAGGCTATTCATTAATTAATTAGGCCTAAATTAGGCTAAATTCTAAACGTGAATAAATAAATATGAAAAATATTTGGCCTATTATTAATCGCAACACTAGTTACTAGTAGATCTAGGCAATTACTAGATCTAGTCTAGTATCTAAATCTAGATCTACTCTAACTAATAACATTAACTAGCTTCTAGATCACAGGTTCCCAAACTTTTTCAAGTGGCGACCCCTTTTTATAAAAAGTGATACACGATCCCCATAGAATTAAGCAGTCGAAATTAGTAAGAAAATTAATAAAAACCAAAATAAGATTTTCTAATTATAATTTTAACTGAATTTCTTTATAACCGTTTTATGTGTAGGTTGTAAGTGCATTTTATTATATATTAACTAGCCTCAAAATTCGCCGATGAGATTTTGTTTACGCCAACCTCATGCCAGTTACAACATTTAATTTTTGTCTTTGTTTTGTTTTTAATTACAGAAGTGTTGAAAATCCACTCTCGCAAAGATGTAGACACAAAATGAACTAAAACTCGAAAGGCAATATCGATGTCACGTGCCGCGGGATCATTTCACAAATCCAAGAATACATCTTGTAATTCATTGGAAATACTGGCAACACCGAGGGAAGCCAGAGGCGTAGCGACCCCTCCCGGGGACAAACTTTCGATTTGGCGCCCCCCCCCCTATATTTTTTTATATTTATAATTCAAAATAGCAGCTAAAATGAGCTTATTTTGGCGCCCCTAGGGTCGGCGCCCGGGGACATATGTACCCCCTGCCCCCAGGTCGCTACGCCTCTGAGGGAAGCAGAGAATGGGTTACATGTCAATGCAGATTCTTCTTCATTCAGCTCAGGGAAATAACGCCGTAGTTCATTTTCAAGAGATTCAAGATGCCCATAAATGTCCTGTTTCAAATTTTTATTAATCTCACATTCAGATTCATCTACTACAGAGGCATAGCGACCCTTACCGGCGCCCGGGGACAAATTTTCGATTTGCACCCCCCTCAAGATTTCGATTTGCACCCCTCCCCCTCAAGCTTTCAATTGATTTTTCCAACCCATTTTGGCGCCCCCTAAGGTCGGCGCCCTGGGACATATGTCCCCCCCCCCCTCGCTACGCCTCTGATCTACTAGTACCAGGCTGCCGAGTTTCTCAAACATGGCAATATTTCCAAGATTTATCTTTCTTCGCTAGTTTTGCAGCTTTGATAAAAATGTCCCGTAGAATATCACGAAAAGAGATATTCGGGAAAGAACATCCCATGAAGCATATATTCTGCTGTTCGAATATATCAGCTGGGTATGCTATTCTGTCTGCAACTACTCTCCTTAAAGTAGTCTATAGCAAAAGGTCTTGTTTCCCTTGCACTTCCAAGGTCAACTTGATTTCATCTTTCAATTTAAAACACGGTTTACAACATTTCTTTTTGATATCCAGCATACTGTAATGTAGAAAAGCAGAACTTCCGTGATCAGAATTCATGTCAGACGGGTGTATAGGGCTCAAAATTTAAACGCATTTACGACTTATTATCAAATTAAGTGCAGTCTGGCTAGGGCATACTTGTGAATCATGCAATGGATTCCCCTTGAATGAGGAGCTAAATCTTTTACTTTTTTCTGAAAGCCCGCTTTTGACCCAAGCGTAGATGGCTCACCATTACAAAATAAAACTCCACAAATCAACAGACGCTGTGATCTAAGTAAAAGCTTGTAAAAATAGTGTAGAGTTGTATAATAGGCCTATAAATTAATATAAATAAGACTATCGGCTTTCCTGGGATAACTGCAGGTTTCGCGGGGGTTCATCTATTAAGGACGTCACGTTTATTTGACCTTTTTTTTTATCTCCCCCCCCCCCCCTACTGTCAACCATCGTTTCAAAGCACCAGACCCCACATTAAAAAATACGCCACACCTTAGACAACATGTTTTTGTCTTTTAAGAACACTGATTTTTGCTGAGCATGGGTCTGACCACACTATCCCTTCAAATACTGAGTTCAAAGAAACAGGTGGACTCTACTTCACCTGCCCCGCCAAGTCCCGATTGACAACTTTAACATTCACATCTAAAAATAACTAAGCATTGACATGATGTGTCTCGAATCCGTACCACCGATGCGATGCCTGGAAGAAACTCTGTACGCCTGGCTTAATTCTAGTTTATCCGTAGCTCTAGATAAATTCCTTGTATTCTCGAATTAGATTATCTGTGAAGCTAAAAAGCAAACAAATAAGAAATATTTAAGAACTAAAATAGTTTAATAAAGAAACTTAATTTTTGATTGTGTTTACAATTGTTTTTCTTTTTTAACTAATTACTTTGCCTTTCTTTTCTTTCTTTCTCTCTCAGTACCTTTCGGTACTCTTTCATTTCTTGTTTCTTCTTTTTGATTTCATCCCTCTGATGTTTGTTGTCTACTTTTCTTTTCCTGATCTCTTCTTTCTCCTTAATCTTTTTTCGTAGAGCCTCTCGAAACTCATCCCCGCTAACAAGATTCGGCATTGATGGCCATTTTCTTTTTTTGCCTTTGCCCTTTTTTGAGGCGAAATTAGGGATTTTTAAAATATCGTCTACAGAGAGTGAGGCTTTGGGAACTTGTTCCCCACTAGCAGTAGCTTCACATGCACTGAGAAGGGAAAGAGATAGCTCTTTAAACTTTTTATAATCGTTTTCCTCGCGAGGATCTAAGAAATCTGATGTCAGGTTGTTTGCGAGTCTTGAAAAAAATGACAGAAGGTGTTTTTTTGAAATGTCATCTGAAACAAAAAGGGTATACTCCATGAGGGCTTTCAACTGCCGTGAATTTAACTCAAGACCGGTTTTTGAATTATTGGTTGCTTGAATAACTGAAATTTGAGTGGAGGTTGATTGTTGTGTAGCAAATCGGCTTTCGTCATCAAAAGTAGATACGACATCGTTTTCTAATGAAGAGGTTGATGGTAGAGGCTGTATCGGGACATCGTTTTCAAATTCTAAAGCAGATTTAGTTGGCTGGGGATTGAGCGTGACTTCATTTTCAAAATCTAAAGCAGATGTGGATGGTTGAGGATTGAGCGGGTCTTCATTTTTAAAACAAAGAGGTGGAAGAACGATAATTTGGCCCTGACATTCAGAAAGTGGGATGAGATTCTGGCTTTGATTTTCTAGATCAGGGGTATTTTCTGGCTGATGGAATTCAGGAGTGGATTCAGTGACACTGTTAATTGTTCCATTTAAATCAACTGGAGTAGTAGAGTACGCCAAGCTCGGTCCTAATTTCTTAGATTTTATAACCTTGCCAGGATTAAAAGGACATATCCCAGCAGCCTGAAAACTTTTCGAGGCGATTTCGGGGGTGGCGATTCGGTCCCAAACTGGTTTAAGTACTTTGGCAAACGATTCTAGTTTGACACCCTCACCAGTTTCATTGACGTGCTTTCGAATGGCATCGGACCAGGCTGATTTGATTGCTCCAAAAAACACCTGATCCAGTGGCTGCATCAGGTGGCTGGCATTTGCAAGGAGGCAATACAAAATTATGTCATTGTCGGAACACAATTCTGAGGTCTCAAGTTGTGAAGTATGGCTGGTGTGGCCATCTACCAACAAGAGGACTGGCTTTTTAACATTTTGTACTGATGGGATGAAGCTGTCCCTGAGCCAGGAATGGAATATCCCTGCATTTATCCACCCGTTATCTGATACCTGCAAATGTGCTTCCGGGAATTCTTCCAGTAGATTCCGGTTGGGGATTCTTTTGTAGGGATATATTAACATAGGTGGAGTGTACTGACCCACAGCACTAGCGCATGCTAACACAGTTACTTGGGTTTTTGTTTTAGAGGTAACATTGTAAACATGTTTTGAACCTTTGTGAGCTACCACTCTTCTGCTTTTAGCATCAAAACAAAAACCCGTCTCATCAGCATTAAATATACGTTCTGGGGATTCTAACAGCGTTGGGTCTATCCCATCAATACATGCCTTGAATGAAACGAACCATCTTTCAACAGCAGCTGCAGTAACTGTTGCTCTTTCTTTCCCCAGTGGAAGGGGGGTTCTTGTCGTTAGTTCAGGGTGTCGCTTTAAAAACCCATAAAGCCACTGGGTAGAAGGCATTCCGAATTTGCTTTCAGAGGAAGCATTTCTAGTTGCCATAATGGCTTTAGCTGTCTCCCTGATTTCTTGATGGGTTTTTCCGAACCCTCGATGTGCTAAGTGGATCAGACAGTTTGCCAGCCGGTCTTCTTCTTCTGGCAAAAGAAGGGTGTTTTTGTGGGGTACGAGTGGGCGTTTCCCACGGAGCTTGTCGTGCAAGGTGCTCAACGGTATTCCATATTTTAAGGCCGCCACTCTGATGGATGATTCTTTGGCTTTGATGCTGGCTATAGCAGCACTGATAATATCAGGGCTATGCATCACCCTCTTTACCGGTTTTTTCTCGATATTTTCAGACATTTTCAATCTTTAGTATTCACGTTAAGATTCAATGTAGAGATCTGTTATAAAATTTTTGATTATAAAAATTATATTGAAAAAAAAAGCATAAAAAATATATATTATTATATTTAAAAAAATCAAGAAATTTAGAAGTATAGATTCTAGTCTTAGACTAGATTCTATATTTCGTCTAATAGGGCATTCTATCTAGATTCTAGATCTAAACTAAGTCACTAGACTAGGGGTCGTCCATAAATGACGTCACACTCGTAGGGGGGGGGTCGGTAATTTTGTGACCATGTGTGATGAGGGAGAGGGGGGGGGGGGGGTTCAGATGGTGCGACGTCACACTTTTGCTTAATAGAAAAGAAATGTTAGAAAGCGAATTTTAGACGTTATTTTGCGTTTTAGAAAACAGTTTTAATAAATTGTAATAGGAATTGATTAAAATACTCTATTTTGACAGATTTCAGACAAGATTTTGGAAATACATCGATGTTAAAAAAAAAATTCAACTGCAATTTTGAGGGGGTTGTGTGACGTCATTTTAGGGGGGGGGGGGGGGGGCGGTCTGGCTTTTTGTGACGACGTGTGACGGAGGGGAGGGGGGAGGTACAAATCGTCAAAAAAAAGCGTGACGTCATTTATGGATGACCCCCTATTGAAAATGGGATGCTCAATTTATCTTTCGAGTGTTCTCAGCAATGTAAACACTGAAAATGTATTACATTGCGGCGAACATCCCATTCTTTCCTATTATAATATAATATAATAATTTATATAATAATTTATATAATAATATATAATTTATATACAGTAGATAGACTTGACAATGAAATTTACAGTGAACTATATATAGATAGAAGCTATTTTTAGTTAAACAATTAAGATAAACTTTGGTTAGATTTTTCACTTTAATCCTGGACCTAGTGCTCTTCGTCATGATGGTGTTAGGGGTCATCCATTTATGAACTCCACAAAACATTTGAATTTTAGACCCCCCCGTAAAAATCGTCAAAAAAGCGTGACGTCATTTATGGATGACCCCTAATACACCCGTTGTGCTGGGGATATTCAACACGAGAACTGCCGAGTTAATGTATTGTATAACCTACATTTTATGTGCTTTTTTTTTTCAAAATGTATTTTATTAATAAATGCAGCATGTGAACGTTAACAAGACCGACCCCTCCCCCACCAGTCGATTCTTTTTCGGATCCCCCCCCCCCGTATGGACGTCATAAATGGATGGCCCCCATAAATTAAACAAGACAACTTTGTATATTAAACAACAAAGTCAACACAATATAATATAGATAGATCTAAATCTAGTCTAGATCTAGTATAGAGTGTACATACGAATAAACATTTTTTCAAGAGAAACTACTCTAATTTTTCTTTGGAAGATGGCCGCTGTTTTTGTTTACTAATATTTATCTCAAACACCCTGTTTAAAGGTAGTTTAATGATATTTTCGATTGTTTTGGTCATTGATTCTTATTTTAAATCAATTCTATGTCACATTTCTTAAAATTTTGACATAAATATAGATTAGATCTACTTATTTCATTTGTTACCTCTACCACACATTACACACTACACAGTGCCGCCGTGATTACGCTAGCTACCGATAGATTTAGATTTTAAACTTTCTTCGGGGGGGGGGGGGGGGGGCACTGTTAAAAAAATATATTTTCTATAGGGCCTACAAATTATATAAATTTCATTCCGTTCGGGGGGGGGGGGGGGCGGTAAAAATTTTCCCATACCCAGTATTAAAGTAACTACACCCTGTCCCTAGGCTAACTACTAGATCTAGATCTAGATCTACACTACTCAATTGTCAAATTGTGTGAAACAATTTTTTATATGACTCAAGTTCACAATAAAAACATTTCAAACCTTGTAGGCCTATACTGTGTAGGGGCATAGGTAGACTCAGACTGTGTGTTGTTATTGTGGGCACCTACACAGTGGGGTTAGTGTGGTGTTCAATCCATTCTAACATTGCTTAGTGTGTTAAAAATTGCTGAAATAAAAACAAACTTGAGTGCTACTCAGTAATATTTTTAAATGTGTGATTTAAAGTTTTATTGACATGTGTGATGCTTAAAAATACAGTTACTTTTTGTTAAAGAAATTAGTTGAATCATAATTGATATAAATATAATATAGATCTATATGATCTTTGTAACATGGCCTCAAATACAAAGAATTTAGCTATTATTTCAGGAGTAGGACTTCGTTTGCCTCAAGCAAACAATTTAGATGTAATTAGTAAATATATTGGATGAATAATATTGATTTGATAGGGAAAGTATCAATTACATTGACTAATTAATATACAGTGTGCATGATTTTTATGGTCCATGTTACGAACTTATAAAAAAAGGTTTCCTTGGTTATATTTTCAGGAATTGGCTCAATTGCTTCTAAATAAAGGCTGCTTTACTGAGTACCAATGGCATCGAGTACAGTCAAATTTGTATGGGCAGAATATTTGCCATGGAATTGTAGATCCTATGGGAATGATGGATTGCGACTTCTTCAATATCCCCCCTGAAGAGGTATATCTATTGCAATCTTAAGTCAGGTATTATGTTTAATGGGATGACTATTCCTAGAAATTTCTGTTCATTTAAAATAAAAATGGGGTTCAGATTGTTTTCTAAATATATTTGCTATATTTTAAAACATATATAGGGATAAGGGTAAAGATGGTCATAAAGTTGATAAGTTAGTGGTACTACAATATACTAATCTTGCTTAAAAAGTTTTACTCTTCAACTGAATAAATGTAATTGTCGTTCATAACTATTTGCTTGCTGGTACCCCTGTGAATATATGTGATGATCTTGCATAATTTGAAACATATTTTTATATCCAGGCTGTTTTATGTAATCAATACTGGGACCTCTGTGAATAAATGTGAACATCATGCATAACCCGTAACCTATTTCTATACAGTGGCTGTGATGTGTATTCTTATACCGGGACCCCTGCGCATAAATATGAACATTGTGTACATGTTGTAACATTTCTATTTGCAGGCTGTGATGTGTATTCTTATACCGGGACCCCTGTGCATAAATATGAACATTGTGCACACGTTTTAACATTTCTATTTGCAGGCTGTGATGTGTATTCTTATACTGGGACCCCTGTGCATAAATATGAACATTGTGCACAAGTTGTAACATTTCTATTTGCAGGCTGTGATGTGTAATCCAATGCTTGGCCCCCTGTTGGAAGTTGTGGCCGAAAGCATCCTGGACTCTGGCTTAAAACTCTCTGACGTTTCCAAACACTGCACTGGGTTCTACCTTGGTGCAACCTTCTGTGACACTGATGTCATGGTGTCCAACCTGGAAACCTCCTCAAACTCTTGTGAGTGTTGTGGTCACAATAACATGGTGGCAGAATTTTTATACCGGTGTCCGATAATGGAATCTTATTTAAAAAAGGGGTGTTAGGTTACTGGTAGCTAACTAAATACACACTTGGCTGGCTAATGTCAATGCTAACCCTGTCCCTAACCCTAACCCTGGTCCTACCATACGCCTAACCCTAATTTCTAACCATAAAATTAATCTAGATTACAATACTGCTAACAACCCAACACAATTTTATTGAAGAGTCTATTATCGGACATCAGTATCTAAAATCATCCAACACGATTTACTAAACAAAAATATATCAGACTAAAAAATTCACACGTTTTGTTCCTCAGCTTAATACTGTAACATCTAACCTATCTTCCAACTACTGTCCATGCTCAGATATACCTTTTTTTAAAAATGGTTAGAATAATTAAGTAAACAATAAATGTGTCTTTACAGTTGATCTGCAAATAGATAGGTCAGTTTATTTGAGAATCCAAAAACATATCTGATTTTTAAGCATCTGTAATTTATATTTGATATGAACTGTAAAATGGTTATTAGCATTGTCTACATATCCCCTAATGCGAAATGGGTTTGTTGTTTTATAGAAAATATAATTGATTAAGTGAATGATTGAAATTGTCATCTTTTGCTGTTCGTGCCCAAAACACATTGCGCAGATGAAGTTGCTTTCATCTGTTTCAGAGACCATGGCATATGAAGGGATATGGTGATCAGCATTATGACCAGCTGCCTTTGTTTTCCCTAATGCGATTTAGGTGGACTACCCAGACTCGAGACTTTTGGGTTATTAGTCTAGATCTTTACCGCTAGGCCACACCGTCCCATAGATTGACATTATTTGTTATGTTGAAATAGTTCTATTATTTTTTCATCACCTATTTAGTCAACACAAGAACAGAGTTAAGTGCTAGAGTTTCCCATCACTTTGATCTGAAGGGACCAGTCATTCAATTCGATGGAGCCTGCGCCTCATCATTTGCAGCACTACATGCAGCTATGCTGGACATTCAAGCAAACCGCTGTGAAATAGCTATTGTAGCAGGTAAAAATACATATCATATTCATAGAGTAATTTAATTAAAAAGCCAACTTTTAAATTTTTTATTTAAGTTTTGAATAAAATTTTTTTCAACAGCAATGATTCTTTAATACATTTGAAAATATATTTTTATAAATCAGTGATCAATAGGCCTATATATTTAATATTTTGCAGCTTTTTATGTAAATAAGATACTTAATTTGTTCACAAAGGTAGTTTATAAAATTGTAAAATATTAAGTTATAAAATCTAAAAAATGTCACCGTCAACTTTGATGGCATTTAAAAAGTTAATTTAAAGTTACAATTCTAAAAGATAAATAAGATCACTGTCCATATATAATCTACAGGGGCCAATCTGGTTCTTGATCCAATGGTGTCTGTGCAGTTTTCCAAGTTGAATATGCTCAGCCCTACTGGGCTTAGTGCCCCTTTTGATGAGTCTGCCAATGGTTATGTCAGAACAGATGGTATTGTTGCTATTCTTTTGAAAAGGTTTGCATTAAGATTTTTTTATCTTGTGATAAGCATTTTTGTCTCCTGATTTCTATCATAATTCTGTTTTCTAAGTTTAATCTTTTTAAAATATTTTATTTAAAATCTTTAAATAAATATTGTAATTACCTCCCTTGGACCATATTTTGGATTTGACTTGTGTTTTTAAACTTCAGTGATGCTAGTCATATCTCAAGCAGAACTTACTGCAGTGTTGTGGGGTTTGGACTCAAAAGTCAAGGTGCCAATGGCAATGGTAAGTAAATATTGCCTGAAGTCAACTTTATTTTATGAAACTAGGTGATCTCTTCTTGCAAAAGTTAAGATTTCAACATTGCCAAAATGCTGAGCAATAAATTATAAATTACTCAGCAAAGGAATTAGACTTTCTTTCATTTTAAAGCAACTAGTTAACTCTTAAATAGTATCATTTACTTATTTTTGCTTTATTTCTGAATTAATTGTTCCTTTACTAAATATTTTACACTGCATTAACTTTTAGGAATATTGCGCCCAAGTAAACATTTCCAGTCTGAACTACTGGAGGAAGTGTATGAAAAATTTAACATAAATGTGGAGGATGTTGTGTTCCTGGAGTCTCATGGGACAAGCACACAGGTATTTGTAAACTTCTCTTCTACTTTTGGTTTAGTCATTTTTTCCCCCCATTCAACTTGAGATTTTGTTAAGCTGAAGAAAAGAGCTCTTACATACCTGATGTCTCTAAGGAACAGTAATCTTTGGTTTAAGAAAGGATTGTATGGTCAGCTTGATGCCCAGCTATTATTACTTTCCCTGACTTTTATCTGAATTGTGTAGAATTGAGCCAAGAAACCAAACTTAAGACATTTGGATTAATTTTTTTTTTATCAGACTTCTTGATGTTGCTCATTAGATATATTGTACGTGGTATTACTCTCGAAAATTTCCTAAGGTCTCACAACAATTTTATCCAGATAGGGGACAAGACAGAGTTGGGTGCCATCTACAAAGCTGTGTGTTCCAAGAGGACCAAGCCCATTATTGTGGGATCTATTAAAGGCAATATTGGCCATACAGAGGCTTGTTCAGGTAAGTCCCTCAGTCAGTTCTTTTAAATTTTGGTCCTTATCAGAATGGCAACTGGACTTTTTTTTTCCAGATCAAAATTTAATTCATTATTTCTAGCAGAATGAACAAACAAGGTAATTAAAAAGTCTAGTGACAATTTTAGCACAATTTCCTTATGTTATCTAAAAATAGCTCTGTCGTAGCGTAAATCAAGAGCAGGGTTAGTAAAACCATTGGTTAAAATACATGTTTTATTTACAATAGAGTTACATGACTAAAAACCATTGCGCGCCTAGCTACTGAACGTGATGACGCAGCCATTGAACGTGATGGCACAGCTATTGAACGTGATGACGCGTGTGGTGTGGTTGGATAAAAATGCCTACTAATTCGGTCCAAATTTTAATTAAAAAAAATTTTTGTGACCGAACAAAAGGATATTTTTGAAAACTTTCTTCGGCAATATTGTTCTAAATTATGGTAGGAATCGATTGGTACATGTTTCAAGTCGCTAAGTGGTCTTGTTGCCGAGATATGTACCAAAAACTGCATTTTTTCGAGGGTTTTTTGGCTTTTCCGGGAAATCCATGAAAGAAACCCGGAATTTGTTTGGCCTATGTTCATCCTCGTAACTTGCTTAACATAATTGCTTTTGGAACTAGTCCTTGATATTGCTTCGTTGAGGAGGAGATACGACTTTAAGCTGCGGACACATCCATACATTCATACATTCATACATTCATACATTCATACATTCATACATTCATACATTCATACATTCATACATTCATACATTCATACATTCATACATTCATACATTCATACATTCATACATTCATACATTCATACATTCATACATTCATACATTCATACATTCATACATTCATACATTCATACATTCATACATTCATACATTCATACATTCATACATTCATACATTCATACATTCATACATTCATACATTCATACATTCATACATTCATACATTCATACATTCATACATTCATACATTCATACATTCATACATTCATACATTCATACATTCATACATTCATACATTCATACATTCATACATTCATACATTCATACATTCATACATTCATACATTCATACATTCATACATTCATACATTCATACATTCATACATTCATACATTCATACATTCATACATTCATACATTCATACATTCATACATTCATACATTCATACATTCATACATTCATACATTCATACATTCATACATTCATACATTCATACATTCATACATTCATACATCCAGAAATGACGGGTTAATTAATTGCAATTCTCCAGAATGGAAATTGCGCTAAAAAAAACTATGTATGAAAAGATAAGAGAAAAGTTTTGTATCATCAAAATATAAAATAAAAACATTTGACATACATTTTATGCATGATACCATAAATACAAGAGACAAAAACATGTAATATCTTTTGATTAATTGTAGTATTTTATAAACAAATGTATGCCCTGTGTTCTGTGCATTTTAATGATTCTTTAACGTTTGTGCTTTGAAAAAAATTGAGTGGCATTTTATTTCAACAATGAAGCCAAACCACAAATGATTATTCTCGACTAGAAAGGGGATTTGTATTGAAGTTAAATGCAAGGTAATGGTCTGTGATTGGTGTATCAATGATTAGTACTGGTTTGCCATGTATAAAAAAATTGGTGCTAGACTGATTCTGAGAAAAATCATGCAAGTGGTTGGTGCTAGATGACTGTCAAAAGACTGGCATTGAAGAAAATGATGAAAGACTAAACTTATTTATACATTGTCAGCCAACCAAACACTTGGTTTAGTTAGCCAAACAAGACCTGTCTTAGTCAGCCAACCAAACACTTGGTTTAGTTAGCCAAACAAGACCTGTCTTAGTCAGCCAACCAAACACTTGGTTTAGTTAGCCAAACAAGACCTGTCTTAGTCAGCCAACCAAACACTTGGTTTAGTTAGCCAAATAAGACCTGTTTTAGTCAGCCAACCAAAGATTTGGTTTAGTTAGCCAATCCTGACCCAGTTTAATTAATCAAACAAAGACTTTGTTTAGTCAGCAAACAAGACTTGGTTTAGTTAACCAAATAACTAGTGACAATTTTTTTTTTTTTTTTTTTGCTTTTGCAGAACATTTAATCTATTGACATGGAATACCACAAGTTGAAATGCTAAATATTTACATGACCATGTTAAAATATGTACATTCTTGAATGTCAATGGAAGTTGAATACCAGTGCTCTTCTACTATTATAAAACCGTTTTTGGCTGTTGTGTGGGAAGAAGCCCAAAACATTACTTAGAAATGATTCTGTGTCTCGAGTATTTATCCTCAGGGGAGAATCTTGCTTGATGTGCTGATAAACTTGGTTTCCCTTCTGGATCTGTTTTTTTTAAAAGTATAAACTCTATCTCCTCGTCATTCATGTAGAACATCAGTAACTGATGCATTTTTTTAAAAATTCTAGAATCTAGAGAATTATTATGGATCTATTACAGGGGTTGGCAACCTTTTGAAGCGGAAGAGCCAAAAGTTACAATTTTCAAAATTTCCCTGGTTTTAAAGAGCCACTAACATTTTTTTATATCAAATATTTTATTTTTTGATTAAGATTATTAGTATTTGTGCAAGGAGCTGGAGAGCCGCATCTTTGACATCAAAAGAGCTGGCGAGCAGCAGGTTGCAGACCCCTGATCTATTAGGCATGTTCTAGAATTACTCTAGATTCAGAAATAACTTTTTTTTTTTTTTTTTTTTTTTTTTTTTTTTTTTTTTTTTTCAAAGTTCAAATAACTTTTTACTGACTGCAAAAAAACATTAATAACACATGTTATAAGTATATGTCTACAAATTATCATAAAAGGTATGACATTTTTTTTATATAATGAAGACATTGATACAAATAAGTTTGGTTCAGGGTTCCTAATCAAAGAACATCTGAGAGTAAAAAACATTAGGAAAAAAAACTCAAGAATAATTTATTTCTTTACAAAATTTGTTTGTTATAAAATATAATGAATAGAAATTTATCATCTTTTAACTTAAGTTTTTAAACTGTTTTCTCAGTAGTTAACAATCATAATTTCTGAATATTCATATGACTAAAACAAAATCCACACTTAAGGTACTTAATTTGACACCACATTTATAATTTTTGGAGCACAAGTATCATTTAAATAATACATTTAACTATTTTATTAAAACTAGTGTAAACTTAGGAATGCCAGAAAACAACTTTGAAAAATAAAAACAGAGCATAAGGAATGTTATCTTGACTTTTATGATGAAAACATGTACCACACGACAAAATTTTGAATGCGTGAACTACAGTTCTAGAATTCACTAAACATTGATGTATTAAATTTTGTTTACTCAAGGAACATTAAGAAAAACCTATCCTGAAATTCTTGAATCTCAAATAAAAGTAATCTAGCACAGATAAAAATCTAAAAAGTATACATTGTAGGATGCCATTTTCTTATTAAAATGTATTTCTTCTAATGATAATAAACTGATAGTTCTATTACAGTGGCCAGTTTAAAAAGAAAAAAACATTTTAAACATGTTTAATAAAACAATCTACTGTACATTCACTATTTGCATGAGATTCTGCATTATCACCACTCATAAAACCTCAAAAGCTGCAGTTCAGGATACTTTTATGTAACTGTCATATGCTCTACATACTCCGAAGCAGAATTATAAATTTAAAAAGAAAATTCAAAACAAGGCCACTCTATTACAAATTAACAGAAGATATTTTTTTTACAACGGTGGGGGAGGGAGGTGTTAATATTATCATGGTTTTTAAATATTTATTTACAAGTCCAAATAAGGTTAGAGCTGAGAGACAGAATCAATATAAACTTGTTTTTTTCATGATCCTCAAAAACTCTTCTTGGTTGATCTCACCATCGCCATCTCTGTCTGCCTCATCAATCATTTCCTGAAGCTCTTCGTCTGTCATGTTCTCTCCTAATTCCTTTGCCACCCTCTTGAGATTGCGGAAAGAAATTTTACCAGTTTCATCATCATCAAATAAACGGAATGCCTTCATAATTTCTTCTCTTGAGTCTTTCTCACACATTTTGTGGGTCATTAATGTCAAAAAGTCATTAAAGTCTATTGTACCTGTACATTCTTTATCTATTTCTGCTATTAACTTTTTGATTTCTTCTTTTTTGGGCTCAAAGCCTAAAGCCCTGATGGCAACCTTTAGTTCTTTTGCATCAATTGTTCCTGAGCCATCTGCATCAAAGAGATCAAATGCTTCTCTGATCTCTTGCTTTTGTTCCTCTGTTAGTTCAGGCTTTGGGCCTGTTTTTTTGCGGCCACCACCAGCTAAGGTTGTTTTCTTGAAATTGGACATGGCAGAGTATTTCTGATTTAGATTCAGAAATAACTAGTGACAATGCTGGTTGTTCAGTAGCAACAATGATTCGTACCAAAAATTTACTACTTATCTTTAATATCTTTTTAAAATTAAAATAATTGTTGTTTATGCAAAATAACAATAGTAATGATAAAAAATATATAAATAATTTTCTGGCATCAGTATTTACATGCTTTTTATGGCCGTGGTGTGCTGTTGTTGTTTCCATTTCATACCAGCAGTTTCCTGAAATCTTACTGTCTACCCAACCCCTCCCTATGTTTTTTGAGTTGGTAGCCCAAATATTTGGAAACTACGTTTGGGGTTGCTTCCCCTACATATCTTGATTTGAAAAATGGGAAGTAACAAAATTTAATGTTTAATGTAAAACTCTCAACATTGCAATGTATCTAAGCTTATTACGCAGTTAAGTAATACATTATTACAGTAATTATTTAATATATTCTAATCATATACATGTATTTATACATTTGCGTATATATTGATTTTGCACATTTGGTTAAAATGTTCACACCTCCCCTAATACTGGTCTCTTTCCATTCACTCAAATGATCCCTTTCATACTCTCTGCTATTGTGTGTGATAAATATTCCCAGTTTTATTATCATTTACTTTATGATCTCTAACTTGATGAGACCACTTTGTTTTTGTCCTTTTGGTGTTAAAATCTTGAGCCAGTCTGGCTAAATTAGTCTTTGAGTATATGTACTATCCTATAACACTTACACTTTTACCATGCATTATCAAACTAACCTGTTTTGTTTCAAAAGTACACCTCTACTTTTGTGATTAAAAAAATATCTAAATAAAAATAACCAAATTAGTTTTATAGTAAAGAAAAAAAAATCTCTTTATCACAAACTGCAATACTTTGTCGAAATGCTAGGCCTTGTTTCACACACCTGATCAGGTGTTCATTGAGTGAATGTGAAATTAAATTAAGGCATACCTCATGCAGACTAAGTTTAAATTACCTCCCATTATTATTGAATATATAGGAGGAAATGGGAATGAATATGTGGGAGGAAACGAGAATGAATATATGTGAAGAAATGGGAATATTTCATGTACTCTTAGTTATAATTGTCTCCCATCATTATTGAATATATGGGAGGAAATGGGAATGAATATATGTGAGGAAATGAGAATACTTCATGTATCTATATATATAATTCTCTTCTTCGAGCCGTTAGAAAACAAGCTGCAAACGCTCTCCCTACCTCCCCACCCCTACATGGTTTTAGTGAGCTGTGTTCACTCTAAATGTTTACAAGCAGAGCCAACGATTTTAAACGTAGGGGGGGGGGGGGGGGGGGGAGGAGGGGGGAGGGAAGGAAGGGGGGGGGGGGTTATGGTCCTTAACGAGCTACTTATAGTGTTTTAAAGAAATATTTTCAGTGTCAGCGTTGGTACTGTCGAATTCACAAATTATGAATTATTGAAAATTAGAAACAACTAAATAGCGGCGTATGTTATGCCGCGGGCCGGCTCGTGAGTTATAATCACCTCCTGTCTACAATATACAAGTTGTATATTAAAAAATATACATTTCCAAATTTTTAAGTCTGACCTTTGAGAACAATGGTTTTCCACAGTTTAACACTTAGTAAGTTAAGACTTAATTAATATTACTTGATTTCCTATTTAATGGGAAATTCTTTTTATTTAAATATTTTGTGCATGTTAAGTATAGACAGACTCTTTCATTTTATATTTTGATAATACAAGCTATGTAGAAATATAAATCTCCCCTCAATGCAGCTAATGACAGGTACTGCATATGTTATGATTTAATCATTTAATGATTTAATCAGTGTTAATTGTTTACTATGCCGATCTGTAATGTACCGATCTGTAATGTTTACTATGCCGATCTGTAATGTACCGATCTGTAATGTACTGGTCTGTAATGTACAAAAGTGTGAAATGTGTGTGTTAGGGGTGAGGGGTGGAGTGTGGGGGAAGTCTGTTAATAATCTGATTCACTGCACTGAAGAAGAAAAATTCATTATGAAGCGGTTTATTAAATGCTAATGTGTATAATCAGAACAAATACATTATGAAGGGTTTCAATAAATGCTAATGTGTATAATCAGAACAAATACATTATGAAGGGTTTTATTAAATGCAAATCTGTATTAGGCAGAACAAATACATTATGATCAGGCAGAAAAAAATACATTATGTTGGGATTAATTAAATGCTAATCTGTATCAGTTACTTAGCTGAAAAAAGGAGTGGGTGTTATCGGCTATTCACCTCTATTTAAAAAAAAAAATTAAAGTGTGGGTGGAAGAAATCAGAAGTCGAATCCTGAGGTGTGACGTACAACGAAGCCGTGATTTGCAAGCTGTGAAGTTACGTGTGACCGACGCCCACCTACTTGATGTAATGTGGTGTTGTGCAATCCTGTGTCAGGTGTTACGCTTGTTAGTTCAACACCTCCAACCCCCACGTCGTATTTAGGCCTACATGTCGTGTGTAAGGAATCAAGGAATACATTATTAATACGTTGTCGGTCGTTTTGAGCTGCGGGGTGTCTTTCTGACATTTTGCGTCAGACGGAGGGAAAGGATGGGGGAGGGGGTTGAAATTTTCCAAGTGGGAAGTGGACAGTGTTTCTTCCAGACTTTTTTCTCCGGGGGGGGGGGGGGGGGGCACTTGAAATTTTCGGGGGGGGGGAGGGGGGCGGTAGACTTTCTTCGGGGGGGGGGGGGCGGCGGACACTGTTAAAAGTATATATTTTCTATATAAATTATATAAATTTCATTTCGTTCGGGGGGGGGGGGGGGGGAGGTAAAGAATTCCCCCCCCCCCCCCGAAGAGATGCCTTGAAGTGGAGGGGGGGGGGGCAATTGTTAAAATATATATTTTATATTTTCATTTTACTTTTTTTTTTTTTACTTTTCATCTTGGAAGTAGGGTGGCAGCGGATGTACCCCGGGTAGCATTGCGCCCCCCCCCCCCGTATTGATTAGAAATACTCTGTTTTTACTATCGAGCTGAGTCCAAAATTATGTCACTGTTACTTTTTTGTCTAGTCCTTAACCACATTGTTGTGTGCTGACGAAGACCTTGGGTAGAAACGTTCATTGTACCTGTAGTGGTCTATAAGTTGTGTGGATGCTAAAACTACCCGTTTTTATTACAATTTGCATAAACCTGCAGCTACCATTTATATATATATTTTTAGAAAAAAAAACTAGAGTAGATCTACAGTTTTAAAACAAGTTCTTCCGTAGGGCCTAATTGCAGAGCATTTACTTTCTACTTCCGGTAAATCGACCTTAAAGTCATGCTACATTTTGGAGGCAGTTTAAACATATTCTTAATATGTACAAATATTGGTGAGCGCCAAGCTTTGATCCTGACCTATACTAACATGTCGTTTTGTAAATAGGTGTTTTGTAGATCCTCCATATTTCTTCTTGTGGCATATCAACCTGTAAGACATGCTACATTTTCTAAGCAGTTTAAACATATTCTATACATGTACAAATATAGCAGTGTCTCAAGCTCACGGCCCAGCACTGTAGGTTCGTAAAATACGTGGTCCTCAAGTAAATATTTGATGTACCCCATGCACACGCTTTGATAGGAGCCGTCCCGTGCGATTCATCGATCGTCCTGGGGACTGCTGTCCTCGATCGGTTGAGCTAAAATAATATAAAGGCATTATAAAGTGCAGCTATGGCAGATCGTGACCCCCCCCTCCTCTGAGTATAACCCCCCCCCCCCGCTCATATTTGTCGCTGTTACATTACAGCTAAAAATAAAAGATTTAGTACCCTATAAGTCCTAGTGTAAAGTTTTGAATCGATACGACATTAGCAACCCCCGATCTGTGTGTACAAAAAAATAATTAAAACTGTCCCGAATACCAGACGCAATACACGATTGTGCAATATCGTCTCGCATGACCGACGCTTATTTTTCTATTCTATTTTTTTTTTCATTTTGCGAAGAGAAAAAAAAAGTTCCTGAAACATGAGAGATGTCTTGAAATGTTGACGGGTACAGAGAGGTTGCATTTATAAATAAATAAAAAAAAAATATATAGGTCATTGAGGTGGGGGACGAACGAACAGAATAGGGGAGTGCGCCTGGGCTTTTTGGCCGCTCGTCAAGTTCCCGTCTGCTTACGTCAGGCGCGCGGTAGAGTGCAATCGATGGGTTCAGATCCGCGTTTCTAGGGCGAGGGTACCGCTCTACGCACGTGGTGACGTGTGCGGTTTTATTTTATCGTTGTACTTTCGTTTTTGATTTACCTTAATTGAATCTTTACTCGCGTGAGTAATAATAATCATAATAAAAAAAAAAACGATTCGGAGTAAATCAAATTTGATTTGTAAAGGTTCGACAATTGCTATAGCATGCACTTTGCTAATAGCCTTTAATTTGTATTAATTTGTTTAAGCGTTAATTAAGATAATTGTAGAGATATTTTCATGTTTTTATGGCCGTGAATTGAGTGATTAACTTTTGACGTTTAAACGTGTTCTACATTTGAAATTTAAACAAATTAATTTACTTCACATAAAAATAAAAAGTTTTAGCGCCATTGGCTTCTTAATTAATCATAACCTTCTCTTAACCCCCCCCCCCCCCCGTACACTTTTAATATGACACGCCTTTGTTCATAATCATTGATTGGGACAATGACGTCAAAGATTTGTTACTTGTATTTTTATTTTTAATGAAAGTTATATAACTCAAGGTTATATATAATTTTTTTTGCAGGATAAATTATTTCTTAACTTTAATTTAAAAAAAAAATGATTATAAATTTTATTTTCATAAACAAAAATTGATACCCTCTTATCAGCCCGAAACCTGGAGAATATTGATTGGGTAAATTTTTTACACTATTAGATCGAGACCTTTTCCAGACGGGTAGCCTGTCTTTAAAATGTCTTTAAGGGATTGTCATGAATGTCGTCACATACCTGCTTTAGAGAAGGGGGGGGTGAGTTCCGACTTTACTCTTGATGTAATACGTGGTAGGGAAAGGTAGTGGGGGAAGGGTAACTCGAGACTTCCCCCCCCCCCCCCCCTGGCGTTTTGTGAGTGTATAGATATCACGGAGGTAAATCGAATTTTAAAAAAAGGATGACGTCCTTTTTCGACGACCCGTATGATGTGAGGCGCAGACAGATCTTTGAACTGCCAGAACTCTGGCAACGGTTTCTGGGGGTGTAGACGGGTCTTTGAACTCCCAAAACTCGTGGCAACGTTTTTTTTGGGCTTAGCACCGGATAGGGCAATGACCTACATTCGAGCCGGGACACTCCCAGCCAACTGCCGCTTCCAGGAAAGTTCTAGCACGAACCCCCCTCCCCATCCCTCACTCTCCTTTCCTTGTCTGCTATCCAGGCCAGAGAGGGGAAAAAAAACCTAGGGGTAGGGGGTGGGTTGTGAGATGAAGTCAGAGCCGATAAAATCAATAACTAACGGGTGTACTTGAATATTTGTTCTTTATTCTATAACATTCAACATGGTGTTTAAAATATACTCAACATGATATTAACACAGTAAGTTCAACAAAATGGTTTTAAAAAAAAAAGTAATATTCATTGTGGCATTATAGTACAAAAAGTTCAACATATTTGAAAATAAAATTCAACATAGCATTTATATTAATAATCATTGTGAAATACAAAAAAATAAATACATGATAATAATAATAACACATTTTAAAAGGCGTTAAAAACTAAAATGAACGTAGCGCATACAAAATATTTATAATTCAATGGCATAAAAATTTAAATTAAAAGTACACTAAACTGTTATCAACATTAAATTATTTTTTCGTGGTATAAATAATCAGTACAACTTTGCCTTCACTTGTATTTCTTCATAATAAATTAAGGATAAAAAATCTAGGAAATTTTGTACACACTTACTCATTATGGAGAGACATTTGATAAAATTTCTAACTAATGATCTAAAGATTAAGAACATAACTAAACACAAAACGAGTAAGAATACTGCTAAACAGAGCATCAAGTCAATGCAGAAAAACTGGTACCCTGGCATATTTTGGCCAGCCGACCTCATATAGGAGCCGCCATGTTTCATCACATGGTCCAGCCAAAAGGCGGCTTTATTCATTGGAAGTCCGTAATTTAATTTAAACAGTTTGGAAGCTTTTTGGACGTTTAATTTGTAAGTAGAGTTTGTGTACATCTCCATGATGTTTGAGTAGATTTCGTCCGATGTGGCTTTTTTAAGGTCGACGGTTAACCCGTAACCTTTGCTCCTTGCCCTTTCGGCGTTGTATGTTTGGTCCATGAAAATTGGGATACACAAAGTTGGGACGGCGTGAAATAGAGCCTCGTATTGGCTACTTTGTCCACAGTGGGTGACGAACACCTTGACGTTCGGGTGACCCAGAAGGTCGTTTTGTGGGATCCAGGTGGAGGTGAGGATCTGTTGGGGGTCCGGTGACGCCTCGCTCACTCTCCAGACCACCCTGAGGTTCAGACGCCGGAACGCGGAGACCATTTTCTCGTAGATTGGCGCCGGCAGGTCGACGATGTAGGTGCCGAACGACACGACTACTACGCCCGAGGTGGCGTTTTCGACAAATGTTTTAAAAGGCTCTACTAATTCTACAGCTTGGGTTACGGCTGTCCCGCCGATGAGCTTGACGTTGGGCAAGCCGACTTTAGGGTAGTCCATGATAGGATCGCTTTCGATGAGAACGATCTCAGCCTGGGACGTTAACTGCCGTACAGGGAGGTAGGGTTTTTCAGGAGCGTACCGCCGCACGGCATCCGTGTAGCCGAAGAGTTCAAAGACCACGGTGACGGAGTGGATCAGAAACGAGGTCAACCGTTGTTGGAAGTTCATGCTGTCTGTGTGGGGGAACAGGGAGGAGGGGAAGGTGGCTGTTGTGAACGGAACCCGGTATGGCACCGGATCGTAAAGAGGCCCGACAAAAGCGAACGGGATACCGAGTTTGTACGCCATGACAGCGATGGTTCTCATGTGGGGAAGGTTGTCTAATATCATGAGATCCGGTTTAATCTCCCTGATGGCAGCTTCCAGCTTCGCGTCCTCCATCATCATCTGCATGTGGTCGAACAAAATGGACATCATCCTCTCCATGTCCACGCTCTCGTCCTTCCAGTAAGCGTCGCGGACGTAGCGCATGTAGTCCTCCACGACGTTGACCTCCCGCTTGGAGTACTCCAGCACGTGGATGCCCGTCATGTTGAAGACGCTCTGCTCGGCCACCGACACGGGCATGCAGACCCAGGCCTCGTGGCCGTGGGTGGTCAGCGCCCTGGCCACGTTGGTCAGGTAGCGCGTGTGGCTGACGTTGGGCATGGGGACCACCACGACCCGCTTGCTGTAGGCCTGGAGGAAGTTGTCCGCGATCAGGATGTACAGGAGGAACGCCTTGAGCATTTGGCCATTTCTGCAGTTTTGGCGGAGTTTCATTGAAACCTACGGAGGGAAAAATACCTTTAAATTAGAGGTCAATTAAAAAAAAAAAAACAACCAAAAAAAAAAAAAAAAAAAAAAACACGAAAATAGAAAGAACAACTAAATTATTCACACTATTTTTGTTTCAAGTTATTCGAAACTAGGGAAGTATTTATGGGCTACCAGTCAATTTTAATTATGGAGGCTAATATATTTTTAAAATAATCCAGGGTTTTACCCAGTCACTTTTGTTCACACTTTTAACGTTCAATATTTTGATCCGTATAATTAACAACTTAAGATTTATTAAAAATATGTTTTTATAGTAGGGTTTACCTAAAATATTTTAGCTAACCACTTAACCAATTAACAACTTAACATTTAAAATGTTTTTATGGTAGGGCTTGCCTAAAATATTTTCGCTAACCACTTTAGAATTTACTTTCAATACGTATTCTAAGTAGCTTACAATTTCTATTGTATCAAACTAAATCCAAAATCAATTGAAAAACAAAACAAATATTAAAAACCCCGAGAAGAAAAAAGGCACGCGTCGCGTATTATTAAAAAAAAAATGAAAAATAAAAAAATAAAAATTATTGATGCGTAGAAAACATTTTGATTGGTAACTCAATAGTTGATCTTGGGTTTCGTATTCGTGTTGTTTAAATTTGGTCAAATCTTTATTACAAGTTCACCGTGACATATCCGAATTATTCGAAATAAAATTAAAAAAAAAAAAACAGTTTATTTTAACATAACTGTTAGATTATGATTTCTAATATAATGCCTATAAAAAAATACAAATAAATCCAACTTACCCTTTGTACACAATTCATCGTGTTTTAAATCCTAGCTAGAAGTTATGTCAATGTTAAAAACTATGTCAGCGCTCGGGAAGATCTAGTTCAGACTGCGCGGTAAGACACATGCTATGCTGTCAGGCGGCCGGGCGCGCCGCTTTTTATATCGTCTGCTGGAGGTCGCGCAGACTTTACCTCTACGAACCAGGCTGTACTCTAATCGTGTCAGTTGGAAGGTCGTGCCCGATTTAGCCTCCATTCACGTTTTAAACTACTTCTTACCCCCCCCCCCCCCCCCCCCCCCATCTCACCTTCCTCCACACCTACAAACCTCTTTATTGATATTGTGAGAATGAGTTGAACTCATAGTTGTTTGATGTGGACCACAGAACCACGCGATTTGAGGGGAGGGGGGGGGTGTTAGGTAACACATGTTACTTGTGTGTTTCATTTTAATTTTTTATAGGGGTGTGTGGGTGTTAGGTAGCACATCATGTTACTGGTGTTTTAAAAGTTTAACATGGGCGTGGGGGTGGCCTGGCGCTGGTTCCTATATATTCTAAACGCATTGGCGTTGGTTTTTACAAGCTTTTATCTAACTCACTTCCTCGTCAACCGTCAGTCTGTCTAGATCGAAACGCCCGAGCGTAATTGCAGGCACTTCTACCTGACAGATACGGTTCGTAGTAGGTACGTGAGTCAAGCCATGAAGACAACGCATCATGACCTTAAATTTGACTTACTTTGGTTGCCTAATCATTGCTATTTCTAGAGGCATTGGCGTTGGTTCCTACATATTGTAGAGACATTGGCGTTGGTTCCTACATATTGTAGAGACATTGGCGTTGGTTCCTACATATTGTAGAGACATTGGCGTTGGTTCCTACATATTCTAGAGACATTGGCGTTGGTTTTTAAATATTCTAGAAGCATTGGCGTTGGTTCATATATATTCTAGGAGCATTGGCGTTGGTTCATATATATTCTAGGAGCATTGGCGTTGGTTCCTATATATTCTAGAAGCATTGGCGTTCCAATATTTTTATAGGATTATCGTGGATACTGATGTGGTGATATGCTCAAAGATTCGTTAGATCTAAGTTGAGATCATCCGGTGCTAGAATTGGGAACTTTGGATAGCTTGTAATCAAAATGCACCAGTTTTACCTTGCTCAATATACAATTTATGTTAATTTGCGTGTGATGGTTTTATTTTAAAGTAAAATGTGTAGGCGAAAATCTCCAAGAGTACTTTAAAAATTTAGGGCTAGGATTAATGTAAGACTAACGACTAGGGTTACACCGTGCTAATAAAAATATGGTTGTTTTGTTTTGAATGCTTGGATTAACTAGCTTAAATAGCGTATTAGCTATTGAAGAAATGCTCCCGAACTGCGTAGTTTATTTTTTGTCCGTTTTTTTAATTAAAAAAAAAATTTAACATTTCTTCACACGTTCAAAGTGCTACCGCCCTTTCTCCGATACTTAAGCAACCGTTCTCTCATAGTTGGAAACATCAACGATAAAGTGGGATCGGCTTACCCGGTGTAAGTTACCCGTGTACAAGTTACAATTATTTATCACCAGGTCTTGATAGTGTTGATGTCCTTTATTCCCCGAAGAAAGAACTCTTCATTGTTGCACGGCTTGTACTTTACTGTCTGTGTAATCCTAGGGGAAAAGTGCGTGCTTTTACGGGGGGGGGGGGGGGGGGGGGGGGGACTCAAGTGTCAGATTAACATAATGCAGGATCTGTCTCTCTCTCCCTCCCTCTCTCTCTCCCTCCCTCCCCACTCTCTCTCCCTCCCTCCCCACTCTCTCTCCCTCCCCCTCTCTCTCTCCCTCCCCCTCTCTCTCCCTCCCCCTCTCTCTCCCTCCCCCTCTCTCTCCCTCCCTCTCTCCCTCCCCCTCTCTCTCTCTCTCTCCCTCCCTCCCCCCTCTCTCTCCCTCCCCCCTCTCTCTCCCTCTCTCCTTCCTACCCCCTCTCTCTCCTTCCTACCCCCTCTCTCTCCTTCCTACCCCCTCTCTCTCCTTCCTACCCCCTCTCTCTCCTTCTCACCCCTCTCTCTCCTTCTCACCCCCCTCTCTCTCTCCTTCCCACCCCTCTTTCTCTCCTTCCCACCCCCTCTTTCTCTCCTTCCCACCCCCTCTTTCTCTCCTTCCCACCCCCTCTCTCTCCTTCCCACCCACTCTTTCTCTCCTTCCCACCCCCTCTTTCTCTCCTTCCCACCCCCTCTTTCTCTCCTCACCTCCAGTCTCTCCTTCCCACCTCCTGTCTCTCCCCTTTCTCTCTCCTTTCTCTCTCTCTCCTTCCCACACTCTCTTTTCTTCCCACCCCCTCTATCCCCCCTCTCTCTCTCCTCCCCCTCCCTCTCTCTTTCTTTGTGAATTGGTACCGTATTTTAGACACAACTGCCGTTTGTGTTTGTACTGTTCAGTAGCCATATCACACAGAATGGGGTACGCTGTCTTGTTAATTTATAAAAAAATAAAACTGGACATTAAACCACCCCCTTTGGCTGTGTATAAGGTTATACTATAAATAACATGTACATAGACCCAGTGGCGTTGCTAGCTCGGGTGTCAACCGGTAAGGCACCTAGAGGTGAACGTTGGTGTCACTCCCCTCCTTGATATGTCTAAATTTGGCATGGATAACATTAACAATTTTTATCGATAGTCGGGTAATAAAACAGCTTGATGCAACAGTATTTTCTTTATAGCTAGCAAGTTTACGTCACGGTGTCCACTACGCCCCCGTCCTTGTCGGGATTTATCACTTTTGCTCTTAAAATACAATTCAACAGCAATTAATCATTAATTTAAATGGAATGATTATTTTAATATATTTTGCTATTTTTACGTTGGTGTCACCCCCTTAATGGAGTCACCCAGTGCGGTCCGCACTCCCGCCCCGCCCTCGCTACGCCTCTGCATAGTCTACCCCATTCATCGTGTTAAGTACCCCCCCTCCTCCGCCATACAACAGTTTGGTTCTACAGAAATGTATCTGAGTGATCAGCTACAAGGCTGTATAGTGAGTTGAACGAATGTGACGAATGTTGTTTTCACTTATTTTTCCAGTCTTACTCATTTTATCACAAAATCTTTTTGTAAGGCGTGTATAGTGAATTTTAAAAGAATGTAAATAGTTTGTATTCACTTTTTTTCCATAAAGGAGTGTTGTGTAATGTTGTTTATCACCAACCAACCCCATATAACACAACATAAACACTATTGTACATTTATCTTTCTTCCTACACCCTCCGTCCGTCTGGTATTTGCACAGATTGCTGTGGCCATGTTTATGTCAAAATCGTACAACTCTGGTGGCTAATTAATGGCTTTGAGTTCAGGACCATTACATTTACATTGGCCTTGTTTTTAGAAAACAGGTTCAAACTACTATGGGTTGTGTTCGTGATAGTTGAACTAGGCGCTACTAAATCGGGCTAGTGTTAGATTAAGGAATGAAGTAAACCCCAGATTGACTCCATGTTGGTCGCGTGACCACACTGGACAGATAACAGCAGACGTGGTGCTGTATTGATGAGATAGACGAGTGTTAAAACTCTTTGTGATGGTTGTTCGTTGTGTAAACATTGGCTTGTGCAATGTCTTGTTTGTTAGTGGTGTTGAAGTATGGGCATGTATTCATAGATTAGCTCCCCTTATCATTCAGATAATCTAGTATTCGTTTTTTTTTTCTTTCTTTTAAATCAGAACATTAACAAATGCTTGATAATACGATTAAAAAACTGTGTTGAATAGTCAAATTTAGGGATAGAAAAATTTAGCTTTTAGTCAAATTTAAAAAAATAATAATTAAAAACAACCTTGTCTATCTACATGTCAAATTGGTCGAGGCTAACACTTAGCCTAATGTTAATTTAGCGCACGTACATTCTTTATAGTTTTGTGTATTCTCAGTAAATTCGGTACTTATGTTTTTGAGCTGAGGTCTATAAATGGTTATGAATCAGTATGCCCTCTTTGTAAATTAATATAGACTGTTCTTTTCCTTGTTTCAAAAAAATTAGTTACAAAGAAAGTAGAGGAATAAATGTACATTTCTCTTAAATTGCTCTTAAAAAAGTTTGATAGGCATTAAAAACAAACAATAAAACCCCACAAGTTCTAATGCGGCTCACAAAAACCGTTACACAAAATTTACTTGTAAATAACTTGTTTACTCGAAGCGTGCTGTCTACCCTTTTTCCTAGAGCGTCTGTTCAGCTAAATGTCGAAACTCTTCCATTTCTTATCTGGATTTCTCTAACAATTAAGTGCTTTAGCCGGAATCTAAGCACGCATTAACTTTCCAAGCATTGTTTAATCTAGTCCACTGCGTATCACACCGCCACTCTCTCGCAAATCCCCCTCCCTCACCACCAAAGCAAATGACCACCCGTACTGTCTTACTTTATTTGACGTATTTTTGTAGTGTAAAAGTTCGTTGAACTTCAGTTTCTAGAGCATTGTCTAAAAATAGCCACCGTCTTGAAACATGTTTTCCGTCTTCGAGATGTTTATTTTCACCCCTGTCAGTTCAGTCCGGCTATTTTAATATCACATTTCGACTTCGTGTTTACAGACTTTTTTTTCTTTTGCTCTACATAGGAAGAAAAAAAAAGAAAAAAAAATCAAAATAACAAAACAAAACAACCTTACAAAGTCAGCGGTTAAATGGCTGGTAAACGACTAAAGCCGCACGTAGGCTGGAGGGTGATTCTACCAGTCGTGACCCACACAAACCGCTTTAGTTCTGACCTCATCTGTTGTCTGCTTCTGTCAGTACGCGACCTTAGAAGACTGACGAAATAGGTCAACGTGGAATATCTGGATAGAATCCTTAACGAGAGATATCTTTGAATCTATTTTTAGACCGTCAGTAATGTACACATAACAGTGAAATATCTGTATAGAATATTTTACTAAAGATATCTTTTAGGCTATTTTTATATTAAAACTGATGTACACTACTATAGTCTATACACTTAGCAGTGAGATATCTGTATAGAATAATTAATTAAAGATGTCTTTATACCACTAGTGATGTACACTTAATAGTGGAAATATCTTTATAGAATATCTAACTAAACATGTCTTTTAAAGCTATTTCTAAATCATGGGTGCTTCACACTTTAAAGAGATATTAAAATGCTGGATTAAGCACTTCAAGCTACTTCGCTTGTCTACAACTGACCTCTGTTAAAATAATAGTATATGCGAATTGAATAACAAATGTAT